TCGCATGCTTGGCAGACTTGGTGGGAAACGCCATAAGATGAAGTTGTCGGCTCGGCCTCTGCCCATGCTGAAAACTCAGACTGGCACTCCGGTTCAGTCCTTTGCCCAGCAGCAAGCTCTTTGGATGGACCAGTTCTCCAAAATTGAGGCTGGGTTGCACATTAGCTGGCAAGCCCTTCAGAAGTCCGATTCCCCAGGTCTTGGCCTTGCCATGGATATCCAAGAAGCTGGGTTGTTTCCCACCGATTGGAATCTCCAAGCAGCAGTAGCCTCCTTCAAACGAGGCAAAGCGCCTGGCCCCAATGGGCTCACTCCATGTTTGCTCAAGGCTGGTGGCAGTGTTTTTACAAAACAATTTGCCACACTTACCACAAAGGCAGTAGCTCATGGAAAGGAACCTACATCTTGGAAAGGGGGGCGCCTTGCCCCTCTTTACAAGGGCCGTGGATCACCCGCAGATCCTTCGGCTTACAGAGCCATCTATATATCGGACTATACGTCCAAGCTCTACCACAAAATGATTCGACAGCAATTGGAAGTGGCTTGGACAAACCGAATGGACTTGCTGCAACTTGGTGGGCGAAAATCCATGGGCACTGATCTGGCCCACCACATGTTAGAGGCCCATCAGTTTTGGTGCAAATGTCAGAAAGTGCCTTCAGCTATCGTCTTCTTCGATCTCAAAGCCGCTTTCTATTCTGTTTTGCGCCAAGCCTTGGTTGCCACAGAGCTCGATCCAACGGCATTGATTGCAGCCCTCACCAAATTTGGCCTTCCATCCGAAGTCATTCATGCATGGCTCCAGCAGGCCAGCACTGATCACGCCGTTTTGGATGCCAGTCCCCATTTGGAGAAATTGGTGCAAGATTGCATGACCAACACCTTTTTTTCGATTGATGGTGTCCCTGGTGTTTGCAAAACCACCCGTGGTACCCGACCAGGGGACCCTTTGGGGGATTTGCTTTTCAATCTCATTATGCGTTTGGTGCTGCATGATACACATGAGTATGTACAAATGCATGGTGACGCTGTATGGATTGGTCAAGCTGAAACCTGCTCCAGTTTTGCCACGTCCCAGCCCTTAACCTGCACGGGCCTACTTTGATGTGTCGTTTGTCGATGATGCAGCAGTTGCCATTCACAGTACAGGTTTGGCTGACCTTGAAGCCCTTATTCGTATTGTTGTCGAAGGCTTTCATCATGCTGCCGCCGCTCGTGGGCTGCACATCAATTTCGATAAGGGGAAGACAGAGGTAGTCTGGGATATTATTGGCAAAGGATCAAGATCTCTCAAGGAACGTTTGCATGACGCGGGAAACCTCCTATGCTGGCAGAATTCCGAGCACCAGTTCTGTCTGCGAGTATCGCACTCCTATAAGCATTTAGGATCTTGGATGCAAGTTGCGGGTAGCCATCAGCGTGAGTTTTCACACAGAGCAGGGCAGGCGCTCCAAAGTTGGGGGTGTTTAGCCCGTAGCTTTTACCAGAAAAGCTATGTTGGCCTCAAAGCAAAGACAATTGCGTTTCAATCCCTCAGCATGTCGCGTATGATGTTCCAAGCTCACACATGGATTGGAGTCACGGATGACATGCTTGGCCATTGGCAGCAGAAGTTGCGCAAACCTCTGGGGCTGATGGTGCGCACACAACTCAGGGGTAACGCACCCACGCATGTCGATACCAATGACCTGTTTGCCCTTGCCCAAATTTTGCCACCGATTGACCAGTTGCATTTGGCAAGACTTTGGTACCTCAAGAGGTTGCTCCAGTTTTGTCCTCAAGGGCTCTGGGATATGCTGCATCAGGTCGTGCACCAGCCAACCAGCTGGTTACATTTGTGCCAGTCCTCATTTGCCTGGTTTTTGCAGTTTTACCCCTTGTCAGGGGCCCCTTCCGATTCATCAGACTTGTCAGCATGGCTGTCATATGTAGTTCTGGATGTTAAATGGAAAGGACGCCTTAAGACAGCTGCCAAGGGATGCCTCTGTTTTCGTCGGGCCGTGGCTGAACATAATGTGTGGTTTAAAGCCTTCCAGACCACATTTGTGGCCGCGGGTGGTGTTCTCCCAGTTTCGCAGACCACCCCGGTAGCAACTTGGGTTTGTGACCAATGCCAGAAAACGTTTGCTTCCAAGAAGGCTTTAGCCACTCATTCAGGCAGGGTTCATGGCTATCGCAGAGTTGTCAAATATTTTGCCGTTGATAATGTTTGCAATGCCTGTGCAAAAATTTATCACACTCGAAAGAGGCTCATTGAACACCTCCGTGATGCCACACAATGTCTTGCGACCTTGCAGGCGTGTTTTCCCCCGCTGTCAGATGCTATTGTGATTGCAATGGACGAAGCAGATCATGCCACCACTCTGGAATTGCGTGCACAGGGTTGGGGAGATCGTGAAGCCTTAGTTCCTATGCGAAAAAATCATGGTCCTTGTTTGCCTTTGCCAGGTTCCCCAGATGCCATGGATATGCTTGCAAGATGGACCATTAGGCATCCTGATCGCGGTTCAGCCTTTGATCATTTGCAAGGACATGCCCAGACAGTAGCTGAAGCACCGGAGCCTCAACTCCGTTTTTTCAGCCAGGACATACCAGCGTTCGTTTTTCAATCCCGTGCAGGAATGAATGCAGGTGATGGTCGGTTTTCCTTGCATGGACTGGCTCGAGAAACCGCCATCCTTCACATTCGGACGCAAGTATTCGTGCATTTCTTTTCAGGATATAGAAGATGTGGAGATTTGCACAGCGTGCTGGAGCAACATGTCTTCCCTCATGGACAGCAGCTCTTTCTCATATCAGTCGATATGTGTTTACAGCGCGAAAGAGGCGATTTAGCATCTTCCTCCTCCCTTGCGTGGTGGCTGGACCGCATCAAGTCTGGTCAGGTGTGTGGTGCAGGGGGGGGGCCCCCGTGTGAGTCGTATTCGGTGGCCCGACTTTTGGCAGGGGGCCCCCCCCCTGTCCGATCCGGACAATGGCCACATGGCATCCCCAACATCCCTGTGCGCTCTTGGCGTCAGGTTATGATTGGGTCGAGACTTATGCGATTCATCATGGACGTTTTCCTTGCGCTGGTTTTGGTTGGTGGATGCTCCTTCATCGAACATCCTCAATTCCCGGTGTGGGCCCAACATTTGGATCCTTCAAGTATTTGGGCCACTCTTCCTATGAAGCTACTTAAAACAATTGCGGCGGTTGGAATCACGAGCTTTGACCAATGCGTATTTGGTTGCAGTGCGCGCAAGCCCACAACTATCATCCATCTCCGCTTGAACAAGCTGCGTGATACCATCTTGCAAACCGGCAACATGGGCCGCTGTTGTCACATGCCTTCAACGCATGCTCCGCTAGCTGGAAGAGATGCATCCGGAAACTTCAAGACCGCACAAGGTAAGATCTACCCGGCTGGCTTGAATAAAGCCATTGCAGCCGCCGTGGTTGATTACGTTGAAGGAACGTTTGAAGGTTCCACGCATCAGCAATTGCCTGATGATTTTTTGGACTTGGTTGTGAACGATTTTGTTACTGACAGTACAGTACAGCCAGATTACTATGGCTTGTAAGTCAGTTGTGCAGAGTAACACCAAGTTCTTTCTTTGCATTGACCAAGCAAGAATCCTTGCAGCATTGCGAAATGAAATGAAAATGTCATCCGAAAGCCATTGACGAACTCATATTTTTCAGGATGGTTATTGCACCACCAACCAGTTGTAATGACCTCACTGTGACCTCACTGAAGCCATGATAAATCATGGTTAGGATTTAGGGAGCTATCCCCATGTAGCCTGATGTCAGGTTAGGTTAGTGAATTGTTGTCGTTCTTCAGATGTTTAGTTTGTGGCAACCCCAGGATGGTAGTTCGGTGATGTTTTGGCAACCCACATCTTTTCCAGGCTTCCAACTCTTGGGCTTCTTTCGGGGGTTCCAAGATATGTAATTATCCAATGAAATTTGGTTTGGGTCTTTTAATGAAAGAAACCCATTCGTTGTTGATTCACTCTGGAATTATATAGATTAACAATGATGTACTGTAGATGCATTTCACAAAGCTCCAATGATGATAGCGGCTACATGCTCCCTTGATGGGAAAATTGCTGTTTCACACCTCTGGGACAATCTGATGTTGGTTTCGGGTAAAGAGAAGTCAGATATGTTTCAATGATGATCATGTGAGTGGTCAGTTGGCTTTTTATCTTTGGTAAGCATAGGTAGTTGAGGTAGTTTAATGATAGGGCAAACCCTCTGGAAGCCCGGGCACCTCCTTGGGATCGATTGGAACTATCGATTCTTGCCCAGGGGCCGGCCGCGAGGACCATCTGCCTTAAAACATAGCTGTTTTATGCGTGAACCAGAAATACATTCCGGATGATTGCTGAGTTTTTGAAAGTGCCACGGCCAAAACATCGTTGATGTTCCCAATTTTTTGGAGGGTTGTCATCAATGATAATACGTGGCTGAATATATACCCCATTGAGGAATCCCATTCACACATAACGGATTCCCGAAATTTTGGGACTCACCATGTTCATGAACATATTCATGAAATCCCCTCCCCTATTCACACTCGATTCATGCTTGTACCCACAACATACCCATAATATCCCCTTACTGGCTTTATTCCAATAGCACCCGTCATAATACCACATTAATATCCCACGAATACCTGCAGGTTTTCATATGTACTTAATATACCCATTAAATTGCTTATTTAATAAATAATCTAATGATTTGCCCGAGACATTGCTGATTTTTCGCTAGTCTCCCTATCGGTGGATGGATGTAGCTTTCTTCTATGTATATGCCCCATTGGATCGCATGAAAGTTGATACACCCAGCTATTATGTATACAATGTATACCCATGATATACCATATATAACCATCAAAATATATGAACATACAATATACATACTCATATATGTACTTAATATACCATATATATATAATATATATATATACCCATGAAACAATTGCTCATCTAATCTAGCGGCCGATCTCCGAGGCCCCGCGCTCTTCAGTTGGCTCAGGCCCTCCGTTTGAAGGGTCGTGGACCTGCTCGTCATGCCTTGCCGGGGATTAAGCGAAGTCTCTACCGCGAGGCGCCTTGGAAGCCAGGGGGTTTCTATGGGATTTCCTAGGAAAATGACCTGAATCAGCTTGGAGTTTTGGTGTTTTTGTTGGTAAATCGTTGTTGATATGGGTGTATTTTGGGTATTTAAAGGCGATTTTGTCCAGATTTTTGGATGACATTTAAGTTGGAACGTTTCTTCTTCAGATGTTTGAGTTGATGATGTTGTCGAAATATTTCAGTTGGAATTCGGGGTTCAGAGTTCTGAACATTTTTCTCTTTTGGTTTTCAGAATTGGAAAATGTGGAACCCCTCTGTATGTGGATGATCTTGTTTTTTTGGTTTGCTGTAAGTTTTACTTACCTCAAACCAGCTAAATGATTTTGGATGTTTTCTGTGAGGAATTGGAACGTGGGACATCGCCTGCAAAATTGATTGATCTCAGGATCATTGCCACATGAGAGTGGTTCCGCATTGGGGCATTGCTATTGAAGCCATGGCCCATAGAAAGTTCGTTGATTTTCCCATATTTTCCGTAGCAAAATGTTAGTTTGCCAGAGGGTAGCTCACATTCATATTTTGTCAAAACATCTCAAAGTCCGTCATGAAACTGACTTAAGGAGGGTTATATCGGTTATATCCCAACTCAAACTTGCGAAGGTTAAAATTCTATGGTCCATGGTTATCTATATATATATATAATTATATATATCTATCTATATGAACATCTTTAAAGATCACCCCAATTGCAGCCCCTACAGTAGTATATCTATGAACATCTTTCAACATCACCCCAACTGCAGCCCCAAGTCAAGTAGGGACTTTGCCGCTTCACGGCAGGTATTGGAAGCGATGAATGCAGGTGAGATGAGCTTCCCCGGCCGTGTGCGAGGGGTGGACCGCGTAGCGAAGCTCTGAGAAAATCAGGGGAAACGGGTCAGCTATTTGGCGGGTGATGGGTGAAAATGGGATGGCCATGGATGGCCAATGAAGTGTGATCACAAAAGTTATCGCAAGACAAATTCAAGCTGGTTGGTGGTGACTGGAACATTTAGTATGGGGTAATGATGGTTAAGAATGGTTGATAATGGTTAATAATCACTGGTTGGTGGTTTGGAACCATGGAATTTTATGACTTTCCATTCAGTTGCGAATGGAATAATCATCCCAAGTGACGAACTCATATATTTTTCAGAGGGGTAGGTCAACCAGCAAGCAGCAAGAAAATATGATTCTTGACAAACTAGAATGGAACCTAAGTGTCAACTTTGGGCGCCATTTGGTTCAGGCCTAAAATGGGCCCGGCCCGGGCAAGATTTGGTTAGGATCCTAGATCCTATGAGAGAGGTATATTGAAACAAATGATACTGCAAACATCGAAGTCAGGACGTGAAACTTACTGAACAGAGTATATAAAATTATATACTATTTATTATATATATAAATATATTATAACATTATATGACTCCGCTGAAGGTGATGGTTACCCACTTCTGGCAAATCCACTTCTGGCAAATGCACTTCTGGGGGAATGCACACATGGAGTATTTTTTGGAGCATTTTAACACAAATATCAGCTAACACAAGTTTTTGGAAAGCCGAGATGCTGGTTACCCTAGCTTAAATATGGTTCTATGAGGCGGTGGGCACAGCCCCAACAGGAAGATGTGCGGCAAACAAGTCACTATAAAGTCTGCCTGCATTTTAGACCTAAGTATCACATCATACCCCAAGCCCAAGACTTCCGGAGAAAAAGATGAGTTCATAAATGCTGCAACACGTGGAGTCGTTCACTTGAAAACATGAAGAAAATTGGGCCCCCACAAGTGAACTCTGCACTGAACCCGATCAATTCATCCATTGGAACAGATGTTCCGCCTGTGCTATGCGCTATTGGCCCTGCTTTGCCACTGCGAGCCCGCTACTGACAGCTGCGGAACAGAGGCATGTGCTGCGAGCAAGGCCAAGGACGCAGCCATGCTGGAGCTGGCGATGGCAAACAACGTGTTTTTTGAGCATTGGGAGATGGACAAAACCCAGATGATACTTTTGGGGTTTCTGTGTTCAAAAGCTTGTTTGAAAACGAGAGATGCCTTGGAAGCTCTGATCCGAACAAAAATGGGAACAAAAAGCGTTTGGGCCAGGACTTTTGGGCAAAGATCAAAAGTGAAGGCATCGGGGGAGGGATGGTACCGGAAGATCTTTGTCTGTTTCATCATAGGGCCAGTGTCACGGACCCCTGTCATTGTATGATATACAATGTTGGTAAAACAATAGTAGACCAGTCCCAATTTTACCATAAATGGGTTGTATAAACCAATGCTATATTGGTGGTTTATTAGTGCTTTACCCAAATTACACTGATAGCAATAGCTTGATGCTCCTGAAGGCAGTGGGTCACAGTATATCCTGTGATTGGAATCCATTTTGAACAGCTTGAGCACCACTTGAGATTTTGTTTCATTTTTAGAACTGGATCTGTCTTTGCCTGCTAATCATGTTAGGCAATTTTTAGGAGCCTCTATATATATATATCTTTCCGGCGACATACTTGATCATTTGACTCTTAAGTATTTCGAGTAGCTGGATCTTTGTTCACATGGCTGCAGATCACTGGGTACTGAGTTTTTGAGAGTACAGTAATCATCCATGTCGTCATGTTTTCTCGAACCCACTATTTTTTTTCCTCAACCCATGGGAAGATTGGCCAATCATCACATCATATCACATCCACTTCCTGAGCCAAAAGCAGGTCTGCAGCTCAATATCCGTCCAAAAGTGGTCGAGGAGAAAAGCTTTGGCGGTTTGCCGGCCAGAAATCGCACTGCCATGGTGGGTTCCTGAGTTCTTCCGCGCATTTCCAGAGACAGAAGAATTACCCTCTGGTAATTTAACATAGCTATTGAAAATGACCATTTATAGTGGATTTTCCCATGAAAAATGGTGATTTTCCATAGCTATGTTAGTTTACCAGAGGGTAACAGTAGATACATCTGGGTAAATTTGATCACGACCTCACGTCGTTCTCCCGAAGCCTGTAATCATGGTTTTTATAGGGGAATCATCCCAAAATGGCCCAACTTTCAGGTTAGTGAATTATTATGATTTACCCAGATACATGTCCAATTGTTATGTGGACTAGCATTTTGATGCATGAAACAAGTCGTCAAGATTTGAATTATAGTTAAAATGAATCTAATATAATATTATATGGGGTTTCCTAAAATAGGCTACCTCATAAAATCATTTGTTTTTTCATGGTATTTTGCATTGCAAACCATCCATTTTTTGGGTACCCCCATTTATGGAAACCCTCATGCAGGGGTTGGTAACTGTCCCATTTTGGGAATATTGGACATCACCTGAAAAAGTAGCCATCTAGTAGACCATATACCGATCATGGTTGGGTGATGTTCAATGGGGACATCAGTCATGACCCATGTCATATGAATCTGAAGATTCTTTCATATAGCCTTCGGTTTCAGGCTTTTCCCAGGCAGTGCCGGCAGTCGAGGTCCTGTCTGATGATGTTTTCTATGGCCGGGCCATCATGAAGATACCTCGGCAGGCGGGACCTATAGATATCTATACAATTAGTGAGGCCCCCAAGATAGCGTTCAGTTGGTGAACATAACTCCAATAACTATGGTTTATAGTTAACTATAGTTACTGGGGCTTTTGTTAACCAACAAACATCACAACGGGGGGCCTTAAATCGGCCTAGGGCACTGACGTGGCGATTTTCTGGGCCGGAAATGGTGGATTTGTGGGATTTTCCGATAAAGATGTCCATTTGGAATCGGGATGGCCGGATTTTTTTATGTGAACAGAATGGGATGGAAAGGCATCGGTCATTAAATGTCCCCATTGAACATCACCCAACCATTAGGTATATGGTCTATAATGGCTACTATAAGTTGATGTTCAATATTTCCAAAATGGGACAGTTACCAACCCCTGAAAGGGGTTGCCACTGTCTCTAAAACTCAACTGCTAGGAATCAAACATGGCAACAGCAAATATCAGGACATCACGGTCTTGAATGACTCGAATGATTGTCAGCTACCCTCTGGTAAACTAACATAGCTATGGAAAATCTCCATTTTTAATGGGTAAATCCACTATAAATAGCAATTTTCAATAGCAAACTGTTAAATTACCAGAGGGTAAATCATGTGTGAATGGGACATTTACTTCTAGGCTTGGCCATGGCTTGGTGAAAGTTCGATGTCATCAAGGGACAGCTTGAGCTTGAAGGCATCCAATGGCCATGCAACAGGAACCGATTGGAGGTATATACGGACCACTTGTGGGTTGTGGAAGGGCCATTTTTTTGGAATATCCATGGGTATCCACCAAAACTGGTTGGTGGTTTGGAACATGAATTTTATGACTTTCCATTCAGTTGGGAATTTCATCATCCCAACTGACCTTCATATTTTTCAGAGGGGTTGAAACCACCAACCAGACAAATTATGGCCAAGAATATAGCGTAGCTCCATTTTGAGGCCCTGAAATTCCCACTGGAAATTCAAGACCACCTGATGGGGTGGCATGCGGAGGCCCTGCTGACCTATGAGACTGGAAGAAAACCAAAGCTCAAAGATCAGCTGACACGTTTCCCGTCAGGGTTAGGGGTTAGTGACTGTTAACATATGTGCAGTGTCACAAGGCATCACAAGATTCTGTTGGAAGCAGGGGCCAAGATACATCCGGTCACATTAGACGATGCTTGAAGATGAGAAATGAGATTTTGATTCCTGGCAGCGGGTCTTAAGGCTCCCTTTTGAAGACTAAATCGGCCAACTGCCCTCAGAAGTGTCAGATTGTGAGGTTTTTTATTTGAGGAGAAGCCACTTGACTGGACTAAGTCGCTGGAGGTTTCATACATGGGTTGCTGCAGATTGGCACACATGTGACGTGACCGACGATAAAAGACGAGCCGTTCGATGAAGTTTTTTCTGTAGGGGGAGGGACCTTGGTCCGAAAACTGTGATAATGTAAGCATTCAACACCGTGTTACAGATTTGCCCAGATATAGTTTCCACTGGCTTGGTAAGGTATCTTAGAAAGGTCAGTGGTCTTTGGATTTGCCACATGGTAAGGCAGCCAAGCCCCAGGGTTGTTCCCTTTGATTGCTAGGCTTAGGACGCAAAATGCTTCATTTTACTGGAAACCAGAAAATAATAAAAAACAAAAAGCAAACAAAAAAACAACCCACAACACAAACCAAAAAAAACAAATCAAAAAAACAAACAGAAAACAAAACAAAAACAATAAAAACAACAATAAACAAGACAAAACAAACAAACAAACAAAAACATTTTGTTGGTTTGTTCTTTTGGTTTGTGTTTTGTTTGTTTTTTTTCATAATTCTAAATATTTTCAATTTTCCAATGAATGAAGGTCTCTCGACGTCATAATGCTAGGCCAATTCTGACACATGTCTTCGCAATTCTGCGCGCAACGTAAATATGGGGCCAAAAATGGTAGTCCCATCTTATTTTCTTGTCTAGGAATCCAGGAAGTAGGGGAGAAGTGTCTTTCTGGCATGGCCCCAAGCAAAGGCAGTAGGGGCTTTGAGGTTCCATGGCAAATAGTGCCCAGTGATATGTAGCCTCACAGATTGCGAGGAAGCTCCAGAAAAGCTTCAACATCACCAGCAGCTCTCCCTTGGAAGGGGATGGGGGGATGGGAAGGGGCTGAGGAAAAGTGTTGTTCCCTAAAGATTGGTGGGGTTTAGTGGACAAGTCCCTAAACTGTGGATTTTTTCTTGGTGGAAATTGCTGGAAAGATCTGTTTAGACAGGGTGATTGGGCTAAAGATTGTTGGATTGTTGGGCCCCTTATGCCCCGAAGGGTGGTGGCATAGACTTAAAATTTGAGAGGACTGGATGGAGCAGAAACAATGAACTTGTTTGCCCGCTCTGGATCCTTTTTCTCGTTTCAAAGATGTTTCTGATGTTTCTTCGTTTGAGGAAGCACATGCCCATTCCCGACCGTTAATCAGTTGATCTGCCCATGGCCGTCTCCAAGGCGAAGATTACATTCACTTGCTCAGCCTAGCCTACACGCTGATTGCTGAGAGGAGAGATTCAGACTCCGTTTTTGTGGACTGGCCGCTTGGAACACTGGATGAAGGTCATTTCACGCCTGACCGTGGGGTTCCTACCAGCGTGGTGAAGAAGTTCCCCTGGGTTTATCCAAGCTTATCCGTTCATCGGAGTGATTTCCCCATCATCAGCCTATTAAACCCCACTACAAAAATACTACAACTTCTTATTTGAGAAGGGCATAGGCTCACACCATAAGTGGCCTATAAAGAGTTATAGTATATCTGGCTGGTGGTTTCAAACATTTTTCATGTTCCATAAGTTCCATAATACATTGGATAATTCTTCCCATTGACTAACTCATATTTTTCAAGATGGTTAAAACCACCAACCAGATATGTTATAGTGATATTTCCATAGGCTGGTTACAACTCACTGGGGCCACGAGGGATCGCCATTTCCGGAGATTTTCCCAGCTCCGGAGATTTTTTGTTGGGCAAAAACAAGCCATGGATGAGGACACCACGGGGTACCAACCTAACATGTGCCATGGGTCAAGACTATAGGGATGAGGATATCCATGGCAAGGATTCCCAAATTGACATGGATGACCATAACATACCATAACCGTTCATAACCATTCATAACCCACGTTTTGACCATGACACATCTGAATCATATTCATTCATAGTCTATATTGAGTTGGTTGGTTTAGATATTCCAATTATATCAAACAACATCCCAGTGATATGCGGCATATTGAGCTGGTTTAGATATCCCAGTTATCATAGCCCCCGAACATCGCTGGTGCACAAAAACCCAGTTCCCAAGCATCAAATTGCTGGGTAAATGTGATCACGACATCACGACCTCACGTCAAATGATGGTGAGGATAGATATCCCAAAATAGTAAATGGCCTCAATTCAGGTGGTCCTTTCTTGCGGGGGCCGGCCAAAGAGAAGATCAGTGGCCTTGATTCAGGTTCCTGAATCATGATGGTTTACTAAGGTTTACCCAGAATCCCCTGGGATCTCCGGACGTGCCCTCCACGTGCTGAGGTTGAAGGCCACCGAAAACGCCACCGTCTTCGCGCTGCAGCTGACGCATCGGCAGCAGAGGGTGCTGCGAGGTACTACGGTGGAGGGAGCCATTGAGGTTCCTTGGGCCGAGTTGATGAAAGTCTTTGGATCGGTTTTGTTGGGACAATTGAAACCGGACAGCCCCATATTTGATGGTAAAAATCAATCCAATGAGAAACTATGATTTTTACCATCAAAATATGTTTACCATCAAAATATGTATATCAAAATTCCCCATGGTTTCCTGTAGATTTCCCCAACAAAATCCAATCCAATGAGAAAGGTCATCGAGAATAGCCACCAGCTAGGGGAATCCATAGGGAACTTTGGCGAAAGTCTACCTGGCTCTGAGATGGTGATTTTCCGGTAAAACCCTTGGGAAATCCATGAGCACTGGGGACTTCTTTCAAGAATATGTTTTACCCTCTGGTTATTTGTTACATAGCCATGGTATAGATGGCCCATAGAAATAGATGGCTTACCTATTAAAAATATTAAAAAATGGTGATTTTCCATGGCTATGTTAAATAACCAGAGGGTACTTTTTTGGAGCCCCTGAGGCATTATCGAACTAAATGGGTGGATTTTCCGGTGAACCATGTTTGATTACTGGAGGGGATCAAACATTGGTATTTAACCACCAACCAGATTTGAATTTAATGATATCAACAAATAGCGTTAATATATACTTTGATCATCAACAGCTGGTGATTCATAGGCAACACAAATTTGGGGATTTATAGCCAGAAAAAAATGATGTTGTCCAGCATAAATTGGGTTTTCATTGACCGAGTAGGCTGGTATTTAACTGTTGCACAATCACAAATAAAGACCTAGCCGTCAAACCCAAGGAAATAGCTAGCAACCTCTTAAGTGTCGTCAGCACTCTTCAGGGTTTTCATCAGTAAAATGTGGATTTAGCAAGCAAGAATGCACTTTTGAGATCTTTTGAAATCTTTTGGATTACAGAAAACCATGGATTTCCCAATGAAACATGGATTTTGTAAGGGAAAATGACAGGAAACGATGGATTTCCCCCTGAAAAACTACCAAGCCGCGGATGGCCCTAGGAGATGTCCTCCCGAAGGGATCTGATTTGGCAAACGGCCTCGAATCTGACCTTCTTCAAGAAGACGCTCTGGCGGAAAGTCATCAGAAACCAGATATATCAGTTATGAGATATTAAAAAATGATAAAACATGTTTTTTTCGGAAAATCATATTGAAATGGAGAATGGAAAATCCGATTGAAATGATTATCAAAAAATGTGAGAGAGATATTTATATATATATGTGTGTGTGATATGTATATATATATATATGAGCTAATCATGTTCCCTATAGTTGTTGGCAAATGTTGGCAAACCTAGCTGTGGCAAAGCACTTCATAATTCTCGTGGCTATCCCGACACCAGAGTGTTTTAATGGCTTGTTCCTGGTGTTTAACTTGACATTTGCCATATTGTTTTCGGGTAATCAATGCGCAACTGCCTCAGTTGACATTCAATTCACCAAGATTTCTGGGTTTGAGTTGATGCAACTACTGAAGATTTTGGCCCTTTCGAAATGACTCGAATTTTTAAGACTTCAGTATCTTGCTAAATTTTGGGTAAAGTCAGGATGTATCTATATAATTACAAATTGCATTGTCGGAGCTTGAAACGTCCTGAAACGTCTTGAAACGTATTGGAGCGTACTGAAGCGTATTAGTCCCATCTTTTGGATGCTGGACAGCCCTATTTCAGATTTTCAGGATATCCCCAAAATCTCCCCAAATGGGATCGATCATGCTGACAGTTGGAACCAGGAAACCTGTTTCAATGGAAGAAGCATCCTGGGCTTTGGCCTGCGGCTCAGTGTGTCCAGCACCCTACTGAGCTACATGTAGGTAGGTTTGTTCACTAGAGCTCCTGGAAGGTATATCCATGGTTAGATGGGTGTGTAAATCAATCTTTACTTGGGGGGCACCACCTTGCATGATTCGAGAATCGTTCAAGTGAGAATGCACGGTGGTGAGATGGGTGGAAGTTGGAAGGATGTGCACAAAAGTTCGCATGTCACAATGTTACCTTATCTCAAAGAGCTTGCACGAAGTAGTAGGCAACCAAAGATCCAACCTCCTTGAGCATGCTTGAATCATCCCTTCACATTGTCCAAATTGCCACGGATTCATAAACATCCACATCATCAACCTGACACTAGCTTCAATGGATTTGTGCAAGGGACAATTGACAGGAAACCATAGGACCCCCCTGGGATTTCATATGAAAAACCAGGCTTTGCTGTGGATTTGCTTATCATTTTCAACCCTGGTGCAGATGAACCAAACTGGGGCTCAATCACCAGCCCCAGTATTGGTTCAAGGGAAGCCGGAAACCCGGACCAATGTGAAGCTAGAAACAAAAACGGCTTTCCTGTAGATCCATTCCCTTAATCCGATATTTCTACATCATATCTCATTATATCTGATCGTATGCCATTGTATCTCCCATAGGATCCATGTATGCTATATATGGTAACATTTACCATCAATATACCCCAAATGTATCCAAATGTTAGCATTTATACCATACATGGATCCTATGGGTCTGATCATATCTCATTAATTAATTATCTTTGATCATAATATCTCATTGTATATCATCTGTGTCAACATGACAGGTCCCATATCCAGCGGGTTCACCATTCATCTACTCATGCCCGCAGCCGTGAAAAGACAGTGCAGTGCCTCTTGTATGCGACCGTGTTTGAGGGTTGCATACCCTTTCACATGGTAGCGGAGCTGGGCCGCTCAACCAGCGATATCCGGACAAGGGCCAATCTTTTGGGCCGAGCTGCATCAGCAGGAAGCATTCAGTTGGGTGGATCGGCACGGTCGACTGAGCAGACGTCCCGTGACCGCTTTACAACATTGGGCATCAACAAGGCGTTGGGGATTGGGTTTTGGACCCTTATTTTTCTGACGTGTGCAGTGGGATCTCTGTTTTTGTGGGAGATGGCAGCAGCAGATGGTTCGCCGACACAACAGCCCAATGACATTCAACAACTGTGTGCGATGTTACAACAGATGATGAATGAGCAGCAGCGGCAACGAGACCGGATTGAGGAGCTGGGACAAGCGGTGCAGGGTACTGCAGGTGCAATTCAGGGCACACAGGCCACTACGGAGCAAGTGATTCAGCAGGTGGTTGCTCAAGTGCAAGCTGGTTTTCAGCAGGAGCAGCATCAGCATCAGGAACAACTTGCTCAGGTGAGCCAAGCGGTGCAAGCAATTCAGGTGCAAGTACAACAGATTCCGGTGACTGCTGGGGATCAATTGCAACAGATTGGACAGGCGGTTCAAGCTATGCAGGGTCAAATACAACAGCAGGTGAGTCCGGAACAAGTGCAACAGATCGGACAAGCAGTTCAGAGCCTTCAGGGGCAGGTGCAACAGATCGGAAGTGCGGCAGCTGCTGGAGGGATTGGAATGAATGCCCCTCCACCAGCGCCGGCAGGGTCTCCACATGGTAGTCCTCCCGCTCATTCAGGACCTCCACCAGTGTTTCAGTTTGGCAGTGGTGCTACGCCTGGAGGATTTGGCTTCGGTAGTCCTGCAGTTGCTTACGCCATTCAGCAAGGAGGTGTGGACGGGAGACAGTTGGGAAAACCCTCAACATTCAATCCAACTGACAGCAAGGTTTCATTTCAGGACTGGTCTGACTCGGTGATTACATTGGCAGATTCAGCAATGCCTGGGATTTACGAGTGTTTGGAATGGATTGTGACGGAGCAGCCAAAGCATCCGTTGGATTTGCCTTACATGAAGGCGAAGTTTGCCCACTTGGATGGCAACCTTTTAGGTTACGCGGAGTCCAACATCTACGCCATCCTGTCTTCCTACACAGCTGCAGAGGCCAAATCTCTAGTTCGACAGGCCAGGCGGCCAAATGGGATGGAAGCCTTCAGGTTGCTTCAAACCAGATTCAACCCGGTGACAATTGGCCGACAGAGCTCATTTGATGAAGATTGCAAATCCACAGGAGAGCATTTCCTTGGAGAAGTTGTCGGCCGAGGTGATCAGCTGGGAAAATCGGATCGTGGACTATGAGGCCAGGCCCAATGCAGAGAAGGTGTCGGATGCTATGAAGATGGCTGCGCTGATCCATATGGCGCCGCCGAAGCTGAGGGAGCACCTTCAGTTGAATGCTGGCAGGTTTGTCCGGTACCTGGATCTGAGGGAAGAGGTCTTTTCGTACTTGGATCAGGTGACACCGGCAAGCCACACGACCATGGACATTGGTTCAATCAGCAAATCTGGTGGTTGCTACAACTGCGGAGGGCCGCATTTGGCTCGTGATTGCCCCAAGCCGAAGTCTGACAAGGGCAAGGGCAAGAAGGGCAAAGGAGGCAAAGATGGCGGAGGAAAAGGGAAGTCCAAGGGCAAGTTCTTTGACAAGGGCAAAGGCAAGAAAGGCGGTGGGAAGAAAGGTGATGGCAAACAGAATGTCTGCAGCAATTGTGGGAAGAGTGGTCACACCTATGATGCTTGTTGGAGTAAGCCCAAACCACTCAATGCTGTGGACCCGAAGCTGGCCGAGATGCAGTCAGCCTATGCCAAAGCTGCCTTGGAGGATTATCGACGAATTCAAGGTGGAGCCTCGTCATCATCAACATCAGCTCCGGTGATTGTTCATCCACCGAGCCCACCATCGCCTCAGTCTCCAAAGACGGCAACAACAGCAGCTCATGTCGGGAGCTTGGTGATTCGGAGCTTGTGCGCTCTGAGTAGACGGGCCTTGGACCTCAGCAGGGAGATCTTCCGAAACTCAACACCAGCCTGTGTCCAACGACATTTGACCAGGTTGACCACGGGACCCAATGAGGTGCTGGCCACAATCGACAGTGGGGCGGCAGCATCAGTGTGTCCGCCGGGAGTCTTCCATGGATGGCCGCAGGAGGATGCAGAGCCTGGCTTGACTTTCCAGGCGGCAGACGGTACCATCGTCCCGGAGATGCACAAGATTCAACCAGTGGTTCTGACCGAAGAAGGATTTGTGAGGCAGACCCAATTCTCAGTGGCATCAGTCAACAAGGTGTTGGTGTCAGCGGCAGAAGTTGCCAACAGGGGCCATCGTTTAGTTTTGAGCCCTTACTACATGGACAGCTACATCGAAGACCTGGGCACGGGTGAGATCATGAAGCTGCACCAACAAGATGGAGTCTATGTGCAGAAGTTGAACGTGCATGTGCCTGAGGATTTGGGTTTTTACGGGCAGGCACCGGATTCAGTTCCGTCGGTGCTGTGATGCGCCGAGTTGCTGTAAGTCCCATTGAGGTTTCTGTGGAGGAGGTTGGTCAGGATGGAGATCTTCCCGCAGGAGCTCTTGGTGGGGAGGAAGAGTATGAGCTTGGCACACCAGCCGAATCCGATGCTGAACAAGGTGTCTTCGAGCTGGGCGATGACCAGGAGGTGAGAGATGCAGTTGCAAGTGGTGATCTTCATGCGGAGCATGAAGAAGTTCCTATGAGGATGGGGCAAACGACTCCATTCAAGCCTTCCGAAGCGGAGGTTGCAGAACATTGCATCAGTCATGTTCCTTATCGAGACTGGTGCATTCATTGTGTCAGAGGACGCGGCAGGGCACAAGCTCATCGAAGAAAGCATGAAAGTGATGTTGAGAAGGGCCGCAAACGGCCGATGGTCCACATGGACTATTTCTACCTCGGGGCAAGAGCAGAGGAGACACTTCCCTTGCTTGCGATGCTGGATGAGTCTTCAGGCAGAATGTTTTCACTGACGATGCCTTGCAAAGGTGTGGAACACCAATACTGTGTGGCAGCTGTGGTCAAGTTGATGCGCTGCTTGGGCCTTCAGGACGCGGTGATCAAAAGCGACACTGAAAGGTCTTTGGTGGCACTTCGAACTGCTGTGCAAGGAAAGCTTCCTGGAGTTGGTTGTGAGGATGCCGTCAAAGGAGAATCAGCAAGCAATGGTGCCGTGGAGGCGGCAGTGGGACGATTGCAGGGGCAAGCCCGGACATTGAAGAGCTGCTTGGAGGAGCACTATAACTTCAAGATCCCTGCAAAACATCCTGTTCTTTGCTGGTTGGTGGACTATGCTGGCACCCTCATTTCCCGGTTTTTGAGAGGACCAGATGGGCGAACAGCTTTTGAGGGATCTACTGGGCGCCCATGGCGCATTCGCCTCCCAGAATTTGGTGAGTGCGTCCTTTATCAACCTCTACGTGGAGAAAGGGAGCCGAAGAAGATTGAACCTCGCTTTGAACTTGGGGTTTATCTTGGAGTTCAAGAAGGCACAGCTATGCGGTGGATTGGCACAGCTGAAGGGACAGTGAGAACATGGACAATCAAAAGGTTGCCAGAAGAGGAGAAGTGGCAGAAGGAGATTTTGGAGGCGGTGATTGGATTGCCGTGGCAACTTCGTCCTTCAGTTGCCAGAGATGCGGAAGCACAAAGACTTCCAGTGGAGATTGTCTTGCCAGAGGTTGAGGATGAGCCCAAGCCTGCCGTGGAGGTCAAGAAGAAGGGATACATCCCGAGAGGCATCTACGTGAGACGAGATGTGGAACTCCGTGACTTTGGGTACACGGAGGGTTGTGATGGCTGTGAGAGAGCCAAAGCAGGGCTTTCACATCGTCAGCACTCCTCAGCTTGCAAACAAAGGATCATGAATGAGCTCAACAAGACTGAGGAGGGGAGAAAACGGATTCAGCAGATGGAGAGCCGAGGAGAGAAGTATTTGGTGGCTTTTCATGAAAGAGAGGAAAAGAAGAAAAGAGCTGGCGAGGGTGAAAGTGGCAATCTTGCCAAATCTGCCAAGCAACAACAAGCTGAGGCAGAGATGGAGCAGATTTTGGGGCCGATTGAGGAGATCGGTGCAAGCGGCCAAGGGGGCCCTTCCAGCAGTGGTGATGGATCACCTCCAACGGGGGCAGCGGTCATTCCTGAGGAAACTGATGGCCCTGTGATGGATGTGGTTGGAGATGAGATGGAGGCTGAAGAGAGCAACATTCAGCCGTCAATGGAGATTGGAGCTTTGCATAGGATCTCAGCTGATGGTGCCTTCAAAGATGCAGTGAGGGAGGCAAGTTTGACTGAGACAGCGCAGATGCTCATGGATGAGGATGTCTCAACAAGACGGGCTCTTGTGCAGTTGGGGGCTATCAATTTGAAGAAGGCCTACGACATGAAGGAGCCGGCAGTGGTTGAGTTGTTTTCACAACCACGAGTGAGCAAAGGTTTATCTCGTGGTCTTGCGCTGGACTTGAGGACTGAGGACGAAGATGGAAATCCTTGGGACTTTCGAGTTGAAGAGCAGAGGCGCAAAGCAGAGGAGTTAGTGGAGGTGTTCAATCCAGACCTTTTGTTGGGATGCCCTCCATGTGGTCCATTCAGTGCGTTGCAAGCGCTCAATCAGGGCAAAACAGATCCGGTGGTCATGGCTGAGAAAGTGGCAGAGGGTGAACAACATTTGGAGTTTTGTTGTCAGCAGTACAAGCGGAGAATGAAAGCAGGACGTTATTTTCTGCATGAACATCCCGCCAGGGCTAAGTCATGGAAAAGCCCTAGCGTGGAGGAAGTTGCTGCGATGCCCGAAGTTTACAAAGTTGAGGGCGATATGTGCCGTCATGGTATGGAGGTGCAAGCAGATGACGGCTCTTGGGGTTTGGCCAAGAAACGGACTGGCTATTTGACCAACAGCGAGTGCATTGCCCAAGAGCTGGAGATCAAGTGCGACAATGAGCCTGATGCCATTGGAGTTTGGAGAGAAACATCCTATCAGCCAAAGACTGGACAGATGCCTAGCAAACGAGGGCCTAGCTGGAAAAATGTGTTTCGTCGGGTGACTCTTGACCTGACAAATGGAACAGTTCTACAAGACCTTCGTGATGCTTGCAATGCAGAAAGGAGCGAGGTGAAGTTTGCCATCCCTGACAAGTGCGTGCGTGTCGAGACGTTGTTTTATCATCGTGTCCCTGGAAAGTCATGGCACAGACACGTTGCACTGATTGGGGGAAAGGCAAAGCAGTGTGAGAAGTATCCTGATGGTTTGGTGCAATCAATTCTTCGTGGGTTGCGCAGACAGATCAAAAGGGATTTTCCTATCAGCAGTATGAGTTTTGGCCCAACAAATCAAGAGGTGGACGTTGACCTCACATTAGCACCTGAGGATTGGGAAACTTTTTCTGATGAAATTTCTGGGAAAGCCTTGGAATCAAATTTGGTCAAGGCGGCACGTGCTGAGGAGATTGAGTTTGCCCGGCGCTACAAAGTTTGGGAGGAGGTCCCCATTCAACAAGCATGGGACCGAACTGGAAGAGCGCCCATCAGCTCTCGTTGGATCGATGTCAACAAGGGCGATGAATCCAGGCCTCAGTACAGAAGCCGTTTGGTGATACAGGAAATTCGCAATTCCAACATTGTTAAGCATGCAGAGGACGGGTCACCAAGTTGATGCTCGAGGTCGACGGCGCAAAGTCATGTTCATCGACATCCGTCGAGCACACTGGACAGCTCGAATTTTTCGAGAGGTGTATGTGTCACTTCCGAAGGAGGCTGGACTCCCGGAAGGGACATGCGGCAGGCTGCTGAAAGCAATGTATGGTTGTCGAGATGCTGCAGCTTGCTGGGAACTGGAGGTGACCGACATGTTTACAAGTTGTGGTTTTGCTCCTGGTTTGGGGAGCCCAGTGCTTTTTGTGAATCAGACCCGAGATTTGCGGGTTTCAATTCATGGTGATGACATCACGGTCCTGGGTTTTCAAGATGATTTGGAATGGCTTCGCCAGAAGCTGGAAGAGCGCTACGAGCTGAAGTTCGGTGGCTTTTTGGGACCGGACGAATCTGACGTTCAAGATGTGGCGCTTCTGAACAGGTTGATACACTATGGGCCGGATTGTACAACAATTGAAGCAGATCCTCGACATGTGAAAATTTTACTGAATGAGCTGGGGTTGAACGAAGCAAAGACTGTTACTTCTCCTGGCGTGGTGTGCAAAGATGATGACAACACACCACTGAGCGCAGAGGATTGCAAACGTTTTCGCAGTTTGACAATGCGGTGCAACTATTTGGCGTTGGACAGGCCAGACATCAATTTTGGGGCAAAAGAGCTGGCGAGAAGGATGCAAAGTCCGACGAAGAGCAGTTGGAACGGCTTGAAACGGATGGCGCGCTATCTTGCTGGGTGCCCGAGATTGGTATGGCGGTATGAGCAACAGGATGTGCAATCGAGGCTTCACATCCACACTGACTCAGATGACGCTGGTTGCATTGAATCGAGAAAATCGACATCCTGTGGCGCCCTTTACCACGGGAAACATTTGCTGAAATTTTACAGTTCAACACAACATGTGATTTCGCTTTCAAGTGGTGAGAGCGAATTTTATGCTGGAATCAAAGCTGGATCTACACTCCTGGGAGCCCTGGCAACAATGATGGATCTGGGGTATCAGTTGAGTGGAACTTTGGTTTTTGATGCGACGGCAGCAAAAGCAATGATGAGCAGGAGAGGCCATGGCAAGGCCAAACATATTTCAAGGTGCTATTTGTGGCTGCAGCAGAAAATCCATGACAACGAAATGCAGCTGGAAAAGATCGGGACCAAAACAAATACTGCAGACCTTGGGACAAAACACCTGGACGGAAATCGCATCAGGGAACTCACCAAGGCGATGAATTTAGCTTTTGTGGATGGTAAACACCATCTAGCTTTAGATGCATGAGGTGACCATTTGTGAGGATCCACAATGGTCAAGGGGGCCTGTGTCAACATGACAGGTCCCATATCCAGCGGGTTCACCATTCATCTACTCATGCCCGCAGCCGTGAAAAGACAGTGCAGTGCCTCTTGTATGCGACCGTGTTTGAGGGTTGCATACCCTTTCACATCATCAGATGGCAATTCCTATATTTTATATGGCATATCTCTGAGATATTAAATATATTATCAGATCATGATTTTATAGAAGGAAACTATTTAACCATATAAAATCATGATACCTATATTTTGTCATATATTTTGATGGCAATTCCTACATTTTCTATGGTAATTCCTTCCAGCAACCAGCTCCAAGCCAACCTAGGCTGTGATCATGCGCCATGCTCGGGTCGTGCATCCCTACCAGGACCAACGCGAAACACGAGATCCCAGAGCCTCGCCTGAGCTGGGGACACCCAAGGCTTCAAGGGGTGCCCAAGGCAGATTTTTTGCGGGTGGTTTCCCCAGTTTTTTGAAAGGTGGAACATGTGAGACCTCTGAAATGGTTCATGTTCTTGGAGCTGAATGCTACTGTCTCTCTCTCTCTCTCTCTCTCTTTCTGCTTTGTGATCTTTGTGCATCTAGATGTTGGCGCCGCGCCCATATCATGTGTTTATTTTTTAAGTAATATATTGTGTCACTTTCAGAGGCGCTTGATGGTTTGAGCGTTCGCCATTTCTCTGCAGTGGACCCCACCCCATGTACAAACTTTCCTCACTAAATCAACTTCAGATCTCTGCCGCGTTGCTGGGTATTTCTCAGGTGACAACTTCCATGAAAGAGATTCTTCCAACCGTATGGAGGTTTCCTGAAATAGGGGTACCCCTAAATCATCAATTTTTGTTTGGGATTTTACGTTATAAACCATCCAGCTATTGGGGTAGCCCATGGTACCCCCCCATTTATATCCATTTATATCCATTTATGGAAAGCCCTATATATAATTCTTCATCCATCTTCAAGCTAGTACTTGGACCTAGGACGCCCTTGGCCAGGAATGTACATCTTTCCCTTGGTGGAGCTTCTCCAGGTGGCTTTGAATCCCAATCCGATTGTCTCCATCGGATTTCAGGAGGAGATCATCATCGACGGCAAACGCGAAGAAGACGTGGTGCTGCAAATCGCGCGACGGGACATGCCAAAAGGAGCCGTTGTTTTTTTGGGCGAACGCGGTGAAACAGGATGGGTTTTGCTATGTTTTGCTTGAACATGGGGATGATTCAACTGCTGTTCTTAGGCAATTTCATGGGAAAAATGACGATTATACTATATATTTTGCAGTCAACCATAAGGCCATAAGATTATGATAGAATTTTGGAGGTATACTTAACTTTACTGTAACCCATTTTTAGGCAAACCCAAATCTGTTCACCTCATAGAAAACTTTGGTTGTTTTCAGCAGTCCATGCCCGGGTCCCCTCCCACTAGATACCATGGTTGATTTGTAAATCTGCTTATTTGGGGTCCTTTCTTGGTGGATCTTGGGTATGTCATGTATTTCATCATGTATTTCTATATAATTATACATATATATATATTATCAGATATCACCCTAGCGATTTTCATATCAGTTGTTTCGGGATGCTGGATGATGTCCAATTCACCAGGGTGACGCAGGAGAAGAGATCTTCGCATGGCCCGGCAGGCTGTCCAATTCCGAGATGATCGCACGCCATGGTTTCAGTTTTCGGGAAAATCCCGTGGGCATTGGGCGAAATCTCTCGCAACCACCCAGTTGGAGTGACAACAAGGAGAGCAAAGGTCGCAAAGAGTCTTGGCGCTCTTGGAATGGAGCAGAATCGATGGCCGTTTTTTTGGAATATGGGTGAAACAAACATGTCGCCAGATGTCGAAAGTGGCTCAAAACTAGATGATGTCATTCCAAAGATTTGGAAAAGCCGTTGTTCTGGATCGAAGATGTGACCAAGAAACATACCCTCTGGTGAACTAACATAACAATGAAAAATCACAATTTTTAATGGGAAAATCCACTATAAATGGCCATTTTCAATAGCTTTTTGTATGTTTACCAGAGGGTATGCCCCTGGTGGTAGGTCCGTCCATTGGGCAAAAGTCTATTGAGATGTCTGAAGGGAGCAACTAGTCAGCTGGGCACCACTGACTCCTTTCCTCCCAAAAGATGGAGATGAAGCGGCACACGTCGAAGTTGATTTGGAACATTTGGGGATGGGTCAAAACCTTGGGACCTAGTGAACCCCAAGTCATAGCTGGGTTAAAATGGATGTTCATCCCACTAAAAATGTATCTATAGGTATCGACCCATACCCATTTTGGAATCTTTTGGACGTATTTGGAGCTTGAACCATGCATTAAAACATCTCAAAACATATATAAAACAAGTCCAAACGCTCAGTTCCAAGTGCAGAAGTTCAACGCCCCACCTTTTGACATCACCTGACATCAGCGTGACGCCACCTAGTCCCCTTTGCCCGCACCCATAGGATCCATGGTGCTGCTATATATGGTAACATTTACCATCAATATACCATCAATATACCATCAATATACCCCAAATGTTAGCATATATACCATACATGGATCCTATGGGGCATGCTAACGAATGGCCGAGGAATACGACCTCTACAACTGCTCCTCTTTGGACGACTTTGAGATGCGCTTCAGCGAGCGAGGTGTGGTGGGATAGGCTGTGGGACAGGCTGCCATGGGAATGCGACAAATGATAAGACGGGTCCGTCCAAGAAAATGGGGGAACATATATTTTCCAATGGCAATTTTAGATGGGAAAACGATTATTTTCTTAAAAACCATTGGTTTTTTGGCTGGTGGCGTCAAGAAATGGGAGGATCCGAGCCATGCCGAGCCCATTTTTGGGTTGAACAGACTCCGCCACCAACAGTGGGAGCATCGTTGCTGTTGAAGTTGCTCCTATCTTTGAGGATGCCCCGAAACTGACCAAGAAATCATCCACCAGAGCAACCCATCATGCCTGCTCCCAGCATAGTAAAAACTCCATGTTGGAAGATGCAGGAGGTGGCCGATGGTAATTTCATGCAAAAAATCACAGTTTGCTGACTGGAAGATGAATGGAAATGGATACATGGAAGTAGATGTATTGAACATGGTGCTTTTCTATGTTATAAATCAATATAAATCATATATATATATATAAATCACATATAAATCACATATAAATCACATTCACCAGGGGGTAGATCCCAATCTTCCTGCATCTCTCCCAAAAGTTGTGCCCCCAACTGCTCCACCTGGGAGGCGTCCCTGCACGGTCCTTCATTCGTTGCTACCGCATCTCGTGGTTTATCAGCAACGGTGCCTGGGATTTTTTCTTCGCAGTTTCATTGAACCAAATGGATCCAAATGGAGGGTATTTGATGCTACCCTCCAGTAACATAGACCCTGGCAGTCATCGGGGTTGGAAGACTAGTGAAACCACTATAAATAGCTCATTTTCAGGGTCGAACTGTTAAATTCCCAGGGGGTACTTGGAGGGTTCAATATTTACATATGACATCATATGACATATATTCAATGGAAATTTCAGGATCCTAAATTGGAGGTACTGTACCATATGTTTGGCCATATTGTGTAGGGGCATATCCCCTTACATAGGCCTGAAAAATAGGCCTTATATATGGTAGGTACCTCCAATCAATCGGTTCCTGAAATGGCTATTGATATATTTAAATTTCTTTGGTGTGTCTTATTGTTTTCGGTTTCCCATCCCTCATCATCCTTCTAAAAAAGGATGTTGCAAACCAGCTGCTAAACAAACGTTCGCGACTTGGAAGCCTGTCATTCGTGGAACGCCTTCGTCGACAAGTTGTTCTAGTTTGGTTGGGATATGTTGGGATTGGGATGGCTGTTAAACTCGGTCACCCTCTGGTAAACATACAAAAAACTATGGAAAATCACCATTTTTAATGGGTAAATCCACTATTTCTATGGCCACTTTCAATAGCGCTTTGTATGTTTACCAGAGGGTACAACCAGCAGGTTGGTACTCTCCGGCCCTGAAAAATCGCATGCGCGAGCTGAACAAGTGGCCCCCACCTGAGAAGTACACGATGCTCGGGGTGAAACGACGGCCTGGCTTAGAGGCGTCGTTGCTGGGAAATCACCCATCAGTGGACATTATATGATGTGAGACTGACATGTTTAAAGACATGCACATATAGAAACCCATACAAAGATCGCGGAAAAATCTAGGATGTTACAGATTCTTCGCCAATAATTTCCGTTCCAACTTGTGCGGGGTTGGCTATATAATCTAATACGTTTTGGGATCTGACTGGCCTCAGTCAGCTAGACAATTTCACACCCGTCTGTTGAAAGCCTCTGCACTGAGGAAATCGGATTGGCTGTCGTGGACCCAAGCGGATGCCGAGTTGAATCGGGTGATTCTGGAGTACTGTCAATATATGCGACAGCAACTGAAGGACATGAAATGACATGAAAACTGGGGAAGGTCCGGCACTAAAGGCACTGGTGCAGTGCCAGTTTTATGCCAGTTTTACTTGAAATATAGCCATAGTTAATCATAGTTACAGGATGTTATAGGATGTTATAGGATGTTATAGCGTTTCCCATACTTATAGGCTTTATGGAGGTAAATAGCATGGTTATCTCCATAAATCCCAACTGCACCTTCAAGTAGGACTTCATTGGAGCTTTGAAAGTATACCTTCATTGTGGCAAATCCCCATGAGACATCATGAAACCACCAACCAGATCCAACCATCCAGAAAAAATATCTCACCACCTTCTATTCTCGTGCCACTGCTTGGATCTTGTGACACTGTGACCCTTGAGATAGATGATTAAATGAATATTAATGACATTTATTTGACATAAATTGATGCTTCACACTTGCAATCCATTTTTTTCCCTCCTGGCCCATTGCTGCGCTGTGCTGCGGCCATTGCTGTGTCTTTGAATTCCCTGTGGTCAGCCTAGCCGGCAAAATCCTGGCCAATATGGGAACTGTACATAGTCACTGTCAGTGATTCCCACAAGGCAATGTCATCCGGCTTCGGTTCTGACCCAGTCTTCGTCGGTGTCCTGTCGAGCTCCCGACGGAATGCTGATGCCAGTGCTCCGCACATGGCTGGCGGATACTCTTTGAGTATCCCTGTACGCCACTGGCCGTCAGCCGTAAGGCCTATAGAGGCTCCATGTGGCAATTCCTTTCGGAGCATCCAGCATCTGAGTTCGGCGACAATATGGGGAAGGTTGATCACCATCAGGTCAGTCGCCTTTGCCGAAGGGGCTCCAAAAAGTCCTTGGGCGATGCGGTGTCGATTGACTCCTGGGGCTTGAAGAAGCGCAAGAACCGCCGGAAGTTTCCAGATAGACGCCGCCATCTCTTCTTCCGGTTCTGCTGGGTGCTCCACGACGCCTGCTCCGCCAGTTTGCACCATGATCGCTGCCATCAGCAGCGTGAAGGTGAGTAGCTCGTTCCCGGTCAGAACCTGCGTGAGCTCTCGAAGAGCTAAGCTTGGCAGTCCCCAAAGGTGATCCTCGTCTCTCAGGATGCGGAGGAGCTTCTTGTTCTTGTCCAGGGGGACTCCTTTGCCTCTGGCCTTCGACCATGTCTCGCATGGGGGGCCCGCCAAGAAGGCGACGACAAATCCGTCCAATGCCGCCTTCTGCCAGTAGTCCCTGGTGCCAACAGCCATGGCGTCTCCCCAAACTGCGTCGACTACCACATCCATGCTGACGACATGGAGAATGTAGTTGCAAGGTCCCTCCATGCGATCAAGGAAGAATTGCAGGTCACCCGGCCGTCGACGGCCAGAGAAGATGTGCAACAAAACTCGATGTCGGAAGGCTTCCCTGGGAACAGCAGAGTCTGGAGGCCATTCGGTGACTGCAACGTCTCGGCATTCCTGTTCCAGTCTTTCCAGGCTTTGCACAGGTTTGACAAAAGGGGCGTCCAAGTCCCACTTCATTGGTTCCAACAAGTCCAAGAGTCGAGCCTTAACCTTGGTAAGTGATACCGGCCAGGCTTGTGCATCTTCATCGTCAAGCGTGTCCACGAAGTAGCGCAAAGTCGCCGTCCAGGTAGTCCAGGTTGTAGGCCGCATCTCCAGCTCCTCCAAGATGTGCATGATCGCCACCTCCACATTCTCCAAATCGAGGAAGGTCTCCATGAGGAACATGTGCAGGTCAGAGTCAACCTCCGTTTCTTCGCGAGCTCGCTGTGGCGCTTGTTGAGGTCCTTCAGCTTGAATCGGAGGTAACAGTCGATCATGTTCTTTGGTGTTCTGTTGGTCTTGATTGGAGCCCTTGCCCGGCACTGGCGCACACTCATAATTTCGGCTGTGCAGCGTTCTGCGGCAGTGCTTGGCGTAGTACAGGTGCGCGGTCAACTTTCCCATGGTGTGGAAGTTTTTGAGGCACGCTGGACAAACTGGGTCATCAACAAGCAATCTGCGCTTCGCCACCTGGTGATGGACTCGGAACATGTGTGCTGCTTCTCCTGCTTTGTTGCGACATCTTTTCTTGCAAGAGATGCACCCGCGTACTTGAGGATCTGCCGTAGATGCCAGGTCAGGGACTCATAGAAGACCTGCACGCGCCATTGCTTCTCCCGCTGAAGGATGGCGTGCTCGAAGGCTCTACGGGTGAGTCTCCTCCAGTACGATCGATGAAAGCAAATCACCTCTCTCCAACGCTCCCAATGTAGCTTGGGGTTCGGCATCTGAGAGCTGTGCTTGATTTGACCCCACATCCAATCCATGTCATCCTCAACCAATCCTTGCCATGCTCGATCTGCAGCCAGTAGCCCCCATTCGTGACGTTCTCCACAGTGATGTAGCGTAGCCACATATCTGAGTCTGGCTCTACGAATGAGCTCAACCGGGCTGGGCATGTGGACCTGCGATAACACCTCGTCATCGGCCAAATGTTGGTCTGGTGGGACTGGAAGTAATCTGCGATACAAGCGGATGACAGCCGCATGGAAGTGGGTCACCGTCGCCTCGTCTGTGACGACCCATGTTTCTGCACCGTACAGGAGTTTGCTAAGTACTAGAGATTCTAGTAGTTGGCACCTCTTCTGCAAAGGAAGCGCCCAGTTGCGGAAGATCAGTTTTCGATGTTGATTGACAGTGGAAAATGCGATACCCAAGCGTCTCTTGATTTCATCACGCTGATCACAGGCATGGTGAAGTAGTCCTCCTAAGTGGACATAGCTCGTCGTCAGGGGGAGCTGCATGGTGCCGTACTCTGTGACGACTGGAAGACATCCGGCTGCCTGAGGGCCGAAGAATCTTTTCTTCTGCTGGCGCGAGCCGCGTCCCCGAAATGACAGCAGAACCTCTGTCTTGTTCTTCGAGAGGTTTGGGGTCATGCCATGTTCAATGCAAAGTTCAAGAAGTCGGCTCGCCACCACCCCTACCTTTTGAAGGATGTTTTCGCCTGTATTGCCCTGCAGACAGATGGCTAAATCATCCATCCATGTCGGTCCAATAAACTCATCTGTCTGGTATAGTCTTGGATCGATCTGTTCAAACAAGGCAAACTGAGTGAGCTTGGGAAAAGTGCTGATCATTTGATGATGGCTCATGAAAGACTGGAGTCTGTGAAGAACACCCGCCCAGACATAGCTGAAAACTATGTCCGCGAATGGGTCTCCTGGTCTAGTGCCATGGTGCGTCTGTACCACATCTTCCTGATGTCTCATCCAGAAGTGCGTTTGTAGATGCACCGCTCTAACACTTCTCTGCTCCATCGCTGGTAGACCTGCTTCACGAAGGGCATGTGGTTCTTCAAGAATCCTCTTCAACTGATGCAAGGCATCCTCTGGCATCTTCAGGGTTTTCATGAGTCGTGCCAGCATTTCGTCTGTGAGGGGACCGTCCATGCAAAGTGGGCGTAGGATGCGGTAGAATGCTTCCTTGAGATCAAGCAGAATGACAGCGCATGATTGTCCCTGATCTTTCGCTTGTCTCATGTAAGCCCGAGTCAGATGCACCCCATACGTGACGGGCATGGCTCTTCTGCCTCCCAATTGTTGGGCTTGTAGGAAGCTTTCGAAGACTCCTGCTTGATGCATGCGGAGTGTCCGATGAACAGCTTTTCCCACATGGCTGGATATCAATAATGACCGAAATGAGGAACACTGCTTTGGATCTCCCTTGCCTTTGTATGCTTGAACGAGGAGACCTCCTTTGTGCATCAAGGCCTCATGGCCAAACAAACAAAGCTTCCACATGGTCGCAAAGGTGGCTTTGGCACACTGCTCCGGGGCGTAGTGACAGGCCTCACCTGGGATCTTGTCTGGCCCCGTAGCTTTGCCACACGCCACTCTCCTGAATGCCATCTCCAGGTCCACCAAAGTAGGAAGCTGGTCGGCTCTCATTTGGAAGGGCTCAGAAGACAGTTCACGTAGGCTATGTATCCAGTCATGACGAAGCTCTTCACGTGATTGTCGTTTCCCACCTTCCATGTCCGAGAAGAATTGGATCCACGTCTGTGCAGCCTCATCTGTCGATGTGCATGGTCGTCCATCCTGCTTGATGACGAACGGGATGGTGGGCTTTTTCGCCTTTTTGGGATTCGTGGGCCCTGTGAAATCACGTAGCATGTGAAGGATGCTGTGTGCAGCTGTATGCTCATTGATCGTCTCCAACCTCTGCTTCATCAGACGCTGCTTGGAAGACTGTAAATGAGATCGCAGGGCAACGCGTAGCTTACAGTATCCTGCCATAGTGCGCACTTGTGAAGCCCTCAAAGTCGTTCCATAGGCAAAAGACTCACCTGCATGAACCACGGTGAGATGGCCTGACCATGCTCGAAACATTCTGTAAAGCGATTCACGGGCAAGTGCTTTTCGCGTTTGCTTGAGCGACTTGCGGTACTTCAGCAGTTGTGTCCTGATTGCCCATGTGTCTGCGTCAAGGTAGGCCTTCTTGGGTCGAGATTTGCGCAGCTTGTCTTTGACCTGCATGGCTGACTGCAATTGTCGCCTGACTGTAGTCTCATGAGTCTCAATATCCGTCTTCCATGGCGGGACTTCAATCTCAATCATCTTGAGGCGAGCTTTTCCTCGTTGATCAAGGCAAGACCATTCAACAGTGGCAGGCTGTCTGGGGGCTCGTCTGTAAGACGCTGCAATTTCCCATTGGATTTCGAGGCCTACGACTTGGTGATCATCTCGAGTTGTGGCCAGGTCAAAGTCTTCGAGAACCTGCGACCAGACGCAAGAGGATAACCATGTGGACGGAATCGCAACATAGTCAATACAGTGTGCAGAGTGCCCATCGATAGAGGTCCAGGTGTGACGTGAGCCCTGATGTATGCATGTAGTGGAGGGCAGACACATGTCGAACTTCTCGAGGGCCTCGCGAAATCTTGCTGTGTTGACTGATGTTTTCAGGCCTGATTGGTACACCACTTGATTGTCTGCAACTCCTGGGGCGGCATTTGCATCAAGAAGCCAAAAGCATGGATCATCGTCGATGTATGCCGCCAGCAAGTCAGTGGTTTGTTGCCACCATTCGGATCTCTCATCCTGGGATCGTCCTGAATGTGGTCCATGGCCAACGAAAAACCAGCAGTTCAGGAGGCGGTGGTTCATTTTGACCAAAAGTCTGCGCGGATCACAATGTACAACCTGACATTGGTCTTTGGCAAAGTAAATGGCTTCACCTTCTTCGTTGTGAGCAAATGGTTGTTTCAGGTTGATCCAAAGCTCGACTCCTCCATTGCGATGATGGTGTCCTCCAGTGATTCTCAGAACGTCACAGGACGTTGTGGCACATTCGTCTGCCCTGCCCTCCTGTACTCCCATAACATTGATCCCGAATTGTTTCATTTGGGCGTACAAAAAATGTAATTTGCCGCCACAGCCGTCTGGCTTTCTGGAGAGGGACATGACATTGGCGGAGGCCATACTCAAAGAACATTTGAAGTGTTGAAGGTGGCCAACTGGTGGAGCTTCTTCTGGAAGTTGTGGTTCTTGAGGAGGAAGGTCCGGGCAAACCGTCTCCAATTCTCCATCGCACCATTCAGGGAGGCCACACGGTTGGGCAAAGGTCAACCACAAGTGTGGTATGATTTTGTTCCATTTTTGCATGTTCAGCTTCGGTCTCCTGTGGTGGAAGCTTTGTTGGGCTTCTCGTTTCGCTACCAGATCAACAAACTCGTTATACGGATCACCTGCGTGCGACTTCACATGGTGTAGTCGGAGGTGTCCTGGTGGGAGTCCATGTTCCAGACCTTGGTAGAGTCCTCTGAGGAGACGAAAAGAGAGGTCAGTGGAGCCTGTGCCAATAAGCCCGAAGGCTTGTTTCCCGCTGGTCAATGAGTCACAACAATAGACAGTGGGGATGTTGCTGTTCTGGGCTATGCGCCACAATCCAGCCCAGATGAGCGCATCTCTCTCTGCAACTTCTGCTCCAATTCGTTTCGCCCCTGTATAGCAGGTCCCATCTTCGTCGTACCTCACAGGATGGGTACACCATCCTATGGGCTCAATGATGGAGCTGCCATCATCTGTGAACTTTTCGCCCAGGACCAACATCGCCCATGTGTCTGGCATGCCTTTTTCATCAGCTTGTTGTGGGGCTATGCGCCTCATGGACGTTTGTGACGAGCCATCAGTATATATCAGCCACCGATCATATTCTTGATGCTGGCGGGGTTGGCACACTGCGTCCTTGACGAACTCAGGCAGGTCTAGACCGGTGAACTCCGTGTGCAGGAAAGTGTCCGATGCTGCCAGTAGTTCTTTGAGGTCCTGGGAGTTGAAACCTGTCTGAACCGTGTGCTGGCCTCTGCTGGTGCTTGGCATACCCACTGGGAAGAGTGGTTGTGGTGTCCAGTGGTGAATATCACGCTGCGGCCAAGGTGTGCGCTCTTTGACAGGTCGCTCCATAATGGCTTGAATGGGCATGTTGTTGCAAAAGCTGACCCGATGTAGCCCACACTCAAGTGGTTCATCTCCAAGAATCACTGCTCTGGGGTAGCCAAGCGTGTCTAATAGACTCATCATTCCGATGTGGTCGAGGCCAGTACGCTGAGTGTGAAGAATGCATCCTTGTATGTCGGTGGCATCTTCATTGCAGAACATGTGCACAAAGACCTCCTCATCGTAGCGGAACTCAATGGGTAGGCATAGAAATTTGTCATGTGGCTTGAATTGAATTGCTGTGCAATGTATGCCCCAAGTAATGAGTTCACGTTCTACTTCTGGCTGACCTGCTTCAAATGGTACTTCAAGGTACTCGGGCACAATGATGTCTGGGTGTCCTGCTTGTAGCTTGACTCCCCATGTGTGTTCTTGTGGTTCTTGTGCAATTGGTGAGTCCTCTTCTTTGATGATAGTGGAAAGCTGAAGTGTAACAGGGGAAGGCCGGCAGGCTTGAGCCACCGCACTGCCTGTTCGGCGCTCTTCCTCTCTGCGTCTTCTGCTTGGAATTTGTAGGAAGCCATGTCCTTCAGCTTGAGGAGCTGTAGGTGATTTCGGCCAGAGATAAATTTCGATGCCAGTGCCACTTCGTCCAGGGAAGAGAACGCCTGGTGGGAGCTGTACTCCTTGAAACCAAACCTGACAATTTAGCACTGCAGATTGGTAGAGACAGACTCGTTCCAGCGATGTGGCTGTCAGAATGGCCTCAACTCGGACGTGCTCATGTGTAGTGATGGCAATCTGACCAAATGGCTGATGTTGACCTTGTGTCGAATCAATAATGGTGGCAAGATTTGTGATCCATGCGTCAAAGGGCTTTTGTATGATGAGGACGTGCGCCGCAATGTCATTGTTGAGTGCTGGTGGTCTCGGATCAACTACATAAAGCTCAAATGGTGATCTGGGATCTCGAACATCTTGCCATCTCCTCAGAATCAGCTCTTCCCATTGTCGATGGTCTTCGTAGAGCTGTAGTCGACGTGGGTGGTCACAATGCGGCCAGTGCCATGTGTGGTCAATGAACCATGTAAGAATGGTACATGATCTTTCCTCGTCGTCCCATGCGAAGGCTTCTTGGTCCCATTGAACCCAGAGGTCGGCCTCGAACTCTGAAAGTGCCCGCAAGCCAGGTCGATTGGGATCAAAAGGTGCCGCTGCAGGATTCAGTTGGAATTCTCCACATGCTTGGGCTACAGAGGGGTTTTGAGCAGACCCCGTCTGCATGTATTGAATGGGCTGTTTGCTTTTGATCTTCAATCCTCTTTGCATGAGAGAGATTCCTTCTGTTCTAGAACTCCGCTGCACACTCGGGATGGTGATGACTAGGCTGTCTCCTTCTTGTAAATGTACAAGTTCATGTTGGCCAAATGGAACTTCTCCAATGTGAATACGGCAGTGTATTCTGTTGCACCATCTGGCAATGCCCAGATCGTCAAAGACATTCTCTGGTTCAACATATTCCAGCTGCAATGCTGCGAGGTGCCACACTCGACGATGAAGTGGGTGGTCAAACAGCGCAGTCATAAGGACAGGAAGTTCCCTGCCTTGGCCCTGCACCAAGATCAGATGTCCCACGTGCTGGTCATTGTCAGACATTGGTGGCTTTGGATGAACAAAAGCAACTCTGGCAGGTAGATGAGGATCCATGGCGTCTGCCCAAAGGTCACAAAGCTCCTGGAACCAGAATTTGTGTGCAGCATCGAGGCGCAAGGTGCGAGATTCAAAGCTCCGGGTATATCGTTGGTGATGGAGAAACCATGTCTTCCAGTATAACACCGGGCCTTCATCATCAAATTCGATTGCTGCGCACTCCAAGAATGTCATTTTCACTGGATGCATCCACTTTGGAGCTTGTTCTTGTACAATCTTGCTTTGGTGTTGGCTTTCTCCATGACCCACTGTAGGGCGTCCTGCAAGGCTGGGGAACATTGCGCTGTGGCTCATTGGGCCCCAGCGCTGATCTTGATGTTGCAGTGGACGCTGCATGAGAGAGGTCGCCTCATGGTGGTGGTCAGGACCATGGATGTGTGGTGTATCAGGTCCCTTCTGCTTTGCTTTGTCTGGCACATGTTGTGGGGGACACACTTGCGTCTGCGGCTCGGCAGTGACTTCGATCTTGAGGTACGTGCCATGTTGCAGTTCACGTGGGAAGAGATCATCCTCGTTCCACTCCTCGTTGTTGAAATAGAAAGTACATGAACCAGGGGTTTCTTTACATGGAGCTTGCAAGTGGAGCTGTACGATCAGGGATGGTCTGCTCAAAAACCGCGGCATGCGTCGGACAATCCTTTGATGTGCATCTGCCAAACCTGTAGTGTGGTAAGTGATGTCAATGAGGACCAATTTGTCAGCCGACCCGCCAGGTATGTCTCCAACTAACTGCAAAATGATCGTCTCTTCAGCTTCATGTTGGTCAACAAGAGGTGCTTGCACATAGTGAAAACCAACAGCTCTGTCTCGATGAATGCCAATGGAATGTAAGACATCAAACAGTATCATGTTGTACGATCTCCAACGCACAAAGCAATGATGTCCTGGATGTCCAAGGCGGAAAACATGAAGACCTTGTAGTTCTTCCTCATCAAGACTGGAGCTGGAGGCTTTAGGGCTTTCTTCTTCGCCTCCTTCCTCGTGCAGCTTGAGCTCGCTCTCCTCTGTTGTGGCTTCAACTGAAGCAAGGACTCCTGTGGAAGACGCTGACGACGCTGATGCCACCCTTGAGCCTGTAAGGTCATGGAAAACTGCGACGAAAGAATTGCCATTCATCGTCCAATGCACTGGGGTAGTGGTAGCAGGGATTGCAATACCTCCATGGAAGATGTCGCAAGCATGGGTCTGAAGGAGGTCTGCTGCATCGACTGCCTCCAATATACCAATTCCACTAAGATGGCGTGCATACGAAGCCGCCCAAATGTAGTGTTGGTCACTCCCAGGCAAGTAGACCGTTGTGACTCCTCCTCGCAGATCATGAGCACCTTCTTGTCGTCCTTGAATCAGCATCACATCAGCGTGTGTCGGTCTGTCTGTGTTTTGATCTCTGACTCGAGGATAAACAACTGCAATAGTCAGAGGTTCATCATTGTGAATTTGGTCTCGCCAAACTGCAAGGAGTCTTTGGTGCCATGACGCAGGGTCATGTGTGAGGGTGACGTCTCTGGGTACTCGGCATTGGCGTTGATGGATATGATGGATATACCATGATCTCAAGCGATGTTGATGATCATCCGGAAGTCGGAGCATCTCATCCCTCCAGTAAATCTGGAGATGGTGGATGTAGTCAGGCAGGTCGTCAGGTAATATTCTGTCCAAGAAGTGCCTGTGACTCTGGCTGCTTGATGATGCTCTCGGTGCTAAGTTGCGGCCTGTGTCAGTTGATTGATCTGACAGAGGCCTTTTAGGCATGGTTTTTGGAACTGGCGCCAAATGGTCGTCCTCGAGGTGCTTGACATAGGGCAGGAACTCCTTCAGCTCGACACTCCCATCAAAGCTGTTGTCGCAATCCTCAAAGGTGACTGTCTGGCCATTCTTTTTCTTTCCTCTCTGAGATGGCAGTGTCAGAGAGTCTATTCGCACTGAACATGGTACTCCCAATTCCCACGCCAGTTCAGTAGCTCTTTCCACTGCGCTCCACGGTGAGGTGAAGTTCGCTTCTTTCAGTATCGAGTGCCCCCAGTGCATTTGCACAGCACGTGGGTCACATTGTTCTTGTGGCCATTGATGATCATACACTTCAGTCATGAAGCATCGGCCATGCCAAAAGGCTGCATTGCCCGTGAGCCAGGAGGAGCTTCTTCTTCTTCCTTGATTCTTGGTCTCTTCGACTTCGGCTCCAGTTTCTCTGCGGACTCTGAGAGAACTGAGAGGCTCGTGACGACTTGATGTAGTCCCTCTTGAATGCGTTGCGCATTCTCGTCTCTGGGCACTTCGGCTTCGTCCTGCATGTCGGGCTCGTTCTCGTCGAAGTCGTCGTCGGAGATCTCCTGTGGCTCGTCGTCCTTGCCAACTGCATCTGCACGTTTTTTGGCAAGGTCGACTCTCTTTTGGGCTTTCCTCAGATTCAATGTGGCACTCTGCATTTGATGTTGAAAGGCAGTCTCGGATGCTTGAAACTGTGCAGTGTATTCCTTCCACTTTGTCACAGAGGCTTGAAGAAATACACGCCATTGCGACCACAGCTGCATGCGCGAGTTTTCCACCTCCATGAGCGCTTCTTTTGCTTTTCCATGTGCCTTCACCGCGGCCAGAAGGTTGCTGGTGCTTTCTTTGTCGTCTTTCTTTCGTTCTGTTGCAACCAATGACTGGAATTCCGGTGATAGATGATCCTCTTTCTTGGCCGCCTTCATGATCTTGTTCAATTTGGTCTGCGCACTCATCTCCATTTTGTAGTCTTCCAGATCCGCAGGCATCATGGCAGACTGCTGTGGGACAGTTTGCATCACTTGCTGATCCAGCTGAGGCGGCATGAAAGGCATCATGTTCATGTGGGGCATCTGTTGAGGCATCTGCTGTGGCATCCATGGTGCGTGGCATTGCGCTTGATTTGGCGCCAGCATAGGAGGAGGTGGCGGTGGCGGGGAGGCAATTTGCATCTGTTGCCCGCCTTTGCCCTGTCCTTTGTCTGTAACGTAGGTCGTGGACCATGGACCACCTCCCCATGAACTCGATTGACCATAGGGTGCTTGTTGCTCCCATTGGTGATTCTTCTTTCGCGATCTCGGTCGCCTTTGCTTTTGGCTCTTCTCTCTTTGTTTCTTGTTCGGCTGTGCCCATGTAGAACTGCTCTGGTTGGCTGTGGGTACAGCACAATCTTCCCAGGAGTTGCCACAAAGGTCGCAGTACCAGGCATTCGGCGATTTCATTTTGCGGCATTGACCGCAGAGCCAGCCGGTAGCTGTCGAAGAGGACATTGCGCTCACAATTCGGCGGAGGAAAGCTTTGTCCCCAGAGTGATGGGATTGTAGCCTCCTGTAAACCACACTCAGTTGCTTCAAGCTGAGGGGTATTTTGCCTATTTTGTGAAGGTGCCAGGCTCGTCGGGCCAAGGCACGCCGTCTGCGCGACGCCCTTCTCTGCGAATTGCTTGCCGTCGCCCTTGACCGAGAGGATAACCAGGACAAAGAGCAGGCAGAAGTTCCGGAAAAGTGACATGCACTGCGCAAGCAACCCAGCCGTACAGGTAGAGGTCAAACCTGCGCCAGCACAAAGTCAGACTCCGCCAGCCAAAAGCGCCGTAGAGAAGGCTCAGATGAGCCCGCGGGATGCCGGCAAAATCCCGCTTAGGCTGAAAGGACGAAAGGAATCGAGGGGTCCTTAAGCCAGTGCCTTACCATATATATATATATAATCACCATTTTTCATAGGTAAACCATCTATAAATGGGCCACATATATATATATAATTATATATTCACCATGGTACATATGGATTTTGTCATCTAATGGTGGGAAACCGATGGATGTTTCGCTGTCGATGGGATCCTCTAGGGAGATCAGAGGAATCATTTCGATGTGTCGCCGCAATTTTCTCCAAGCGCGCCTGCGAGCGGTGGGCAACCAATTGGCGTTTCCACTCTTTCAGCTTCAGAGTTTTCGCATTTTCGTTGGAAGGCTACAAGACTACAAGACTTGTTGGACTGGATTGGTGTTGCCACTTGCCATTTTTTCCCCCTAAGCTCCATGTTCTCAGCAGCAGACCTGGAAGTTGGGATTTCACCAGAAATCTGGGCTTCTGGTGCCGGATTTGGAGACATCCGAGAGATGCCGTGGGTCCCACAGTGGCATGGATATCCCCCCAAAAATACCAAGTCTGGTTATTGCTTTCAGCGCCCTGGGATGATGACAACGTTGATGTTGATGTTGGAAAGATGATGTTGGAAAAATGACTTCGGAAAGATGATGTCGTTGATGATGTTGTTGTTGATCATCATGATGATGCTGATCTAAATGAACATATCAAGCTACCCAACAGCGAATCTGTTGGGTTTCAATCTCTGGGGCCGGGGGCAGGTGACAAGAAAATGCAAACAGTCCTGGAACCTTGCTGGAACATTTCGCTGTTGCGTTGCAAAGCTAGGCTACTATATATAAATATATATATATATCTATCTATCTACACATGCATACATGCATGCATACATACGTACATGCATGCATACATGCATGCATACATACATACATACATGCATGCATACATACATAATTACATGCATGCATGCATGCATGTATGCATGCATACATGCATACATGTATACATGCACGCATACATACATACATACATACATGCACGCATTCATACATGCATACATGCATACATCCATCCATCCATCCATACATCCATCCATCCATCCATCCATCCATCCATACATACATACATACATACATGCATACGTACATGGATACATACATGGATACATACATGCATGCATACATACGTACATGCTTACATACCTACATGCATACATACATACATGCATGCATGCATGCATACATCCATCCATCCATCCATACATACATACATGCATACATACATGGATACATACATGGATACATACATGCATGCATACATACGTACATGCTTACATACCTACATGCATACATACATACATATATGCATGCATGCATGCATGCATGCATACATACGTACATGCTTACATACCTACATGCATACATACATACATGCATGCATGCATACATACATACGTACATGCTTACGTACCTACATGCATACATACATACATGCATGCATGCATGCATACATACGTACATGCTTACATACCTACATGCATACATACATACATACATGCATGCATACATACGTACATGCTTACATACCTACATGCATGCATACATACATACATACATACATGCTTACATACCTACATGCATACATACATACATACATACATGCATGCATGCATGCATGCATACATACGTACATGCTTACATACCCACATGCATACATACATACATACATACATTCATACATACATACATACAGACATGGTTTGATAATCCGTGGGTTTTTTCCAATTTCGCTGGTCACAATCTCAGTCTCAGTCCGCCAGTTCGCCGTCCCGACGTGCTGCCGCCACCGCAGGTCCCAGCAATCGCTCCGAGAAACGAAGTGTTCGGGGAACCCAGTTTTTTCAGGTCGGGGTGGTATGGGATTTTCATGTTCGCAGATCATAACATTCATGTTGTTCAGTGGTTACTTACACTATTCTGCAACATTTGCATTTCTGAAAGTTCTGAAAGTTACGAGTTATGACATTTTAACATGACAGAAATGCGCTCGCCAGTCTGATCATCTTCGAGACCCGTGATGACCCCAACGAACAACGGGCGGTTTTTTCAACCATTTTGGAAAGAAAACACATCCAATTTTCATGGTGAAATATGGGACTTTGTTGGGTGATTTAACATGATTTAACCAACCTTATTTTGGGGACATCATATATGACATCATTTCTATTCAATGTCTCGTTCATCTACTGTACTTCAGCATGGCGGCCGCCCAGGAAATCCCTGAACTGGAGCGCTATCGTTCGCTGTGAACATAAGATGACATCTCCATAGAACGACTGGTGAAATCCCATTGAATCCCATCATTGATGAATGTCGATTAATATTGGATGCAAGAAGTCAATTGGTGGCTTTCGGGGCTCAAGCCTTCGTATGTCACCTCAGGCTGTCCTTGGTCTAGTTCTTGAGGGGATTAAGACTAATTGGTGGGGGCTGGCTTGCCCGCATCATTGCACCCAACCTTCGGTTGGACTCTTGGGGTTCTGTTTTCTCCTAGGGTGGATCTCTGGACTTGCCTCCACCCTCGCTTTGGTCTGGTGGCTGTCTGGGTTTTGGTGTGGTCCTGGCTCTGACATTGTGCGTGGCTCCTCGGTCCGTCTGGCCTCTCGTGCCCGTGTCCTTGCGTCCTACTTGCATGAGCCAACCCTCCTCCAACCACGACGTCGGGATTGAACTCCATATATCCCTACCTGAGGGTATCCAGGTCACTGTGCGGGCCCCTACCTCTTCTGCTGGTGTTGCTGCTGACCTGTTGGGCTACATCTCTCTCTTCCAGGCCTCTGCACCGTCGGTTCGGTCGGATCGCTCCTTCGAGGTTGTGTCTTCTGTGGCTGAGTCTGTGCGGAATTCCCCTCCTAGGGAGCGTCCTGTGGAATCAAGGGACTCTATCCTGCGATCCTTTGCTGGCTGCCCATCTCGCTTGTTTGTGCACAGCCCTCGTTTGTGTGGGTCAACACTGTCGGGTAAGGACCGGGTTGCTCGTGCTTGGCTGGCTGGTCAGTGGGCTGGTGCCGTCCGAAGTGGCCGCATCGGCAATCCCAACAGGACACCTGCCATCGACCTTAGGTCGCGCTTCTACGCAGTTCTCAGGGCTCCTGGACTTGCAGGCCCGACCATCTTCAGGTCTTCAGCCAGCTACTGGCGCTGTGTTGGAAATTTGGAAGAGAGCTCAGCAATCTCCCAGTCTTTCCCTAGCGAGGTTGAGGCCCGGATCTACTTGGAGGCAGCAGGGGAGACCGACATCGAGGTCCTTCCTTGATCCTAGTCATGGAGTTTGTGGAATCCCTGACCTTGGACTCTTTGGTCACGCTCCAGTCGGATGTAGAACCCTATGTTTTGGATTGGCCCGCCGCAGAGCCTGGTTCTGTAGCCGAAGCCCTAGTGCTGGTGACCCATATAAGGCCAGGTGGATTTTTGGCCGCGGTCCCAGTTGGATTTATCCCAGAAGAAGTTCTCGCCGTTGGCAACTCTTCCCAGCGCCCCGGTCCTGTTGGTCCTTCGACCGTCATCGTTGTTCCTGGTTCCATGCTCGACAACGGTACCCTTGTTCCGGTCGGTTCCCCAGTGTCCGTGGTGGTTGTGGATTTTTCCCAAGATGTTCTTCCTCAGTTGCATCCTCTGCCAGTTGCTTCCGACCTTCACTTCACCTTCGACCCAGATCAGCCATATGCTGTGCCAACTCCGCTGGATTTGTTAAGTCGGATTCAGGAATGGTTGGAGGCGGGAGGAGACAGTGGACTGGGCTATGCAACAGCTGGAGGGGAGGACATAGATGGAGTACCCCTAGAGGAGGAGGATTTTGCAGACGCAACACCCGGATCCCCCCTTTCGGCAGTGCCAAAGCTTCCAACAAAAAGCCGCAAGGCAAAACCCACAGTGCCTGGGCCAGGGCGGCCTACCAGTGCAGAAAAACGCCCTACGGTGGCGAGCCTCGCATCATCTCTTCAGGAGCTGATCCAGGTAAACTCAGGCCTCACTCAGCAGATACAAAGCCTCTCCCTGCGGCAGCAGCAGCTCGAGAGACGAGCTACCCCGCCTCCTCAGACACTTGCCACTCCTCAAACTCTCTTGAGCCAGCCTTTGTCATCTGCCCTGGTCTCCCAATCCCATCAGCCCTCCGCAGTTGCGAAAGCCATCGGAACCCCCCCCAGGACTTCCGCTGGCCTGACTCCGGGTCTTTTGAGGTCTCCTTTGATCCAGCCCCCAGAGCTAACGGAGTTGGAGGAGGAAAAGCTGGAGCATCCCCCGTCTACCTCGCGCGCTCACAGCTCTTGTCAGTCAGATAGCCAGTCAGAGCTCCGACCCTCTCTTGGACTTGGGGGGAGGGAGTTTTGGGGCAAGCACCCGGGGGGCTCAGGGGAGGGCAAAGCTACAGGCGGAGCTTGCAGCCCAGAGAGGAAGCTTCTTCTCTTCGGTGCTCACTGCCATGGCCAGGCGCATGCAGCCAACCAGCTCAGCAGAAGGGACCCCGGAGGAGCTCATGGCCAAGGGGGTATCGGGCAGCAGGTACTTGGAGAGGTTCGGAGGCTTTGGCAAGCACAGGGAGCTAGGTTGCCTCCAACACCAGGTGATGACAATCATGGACTTTTTGCAGGTGGGAAACTTGCAAGCAGCAAGGGACTCCACGGCCTTGCTGGCGGTCACCATAGACCAGGCGGCATTAGACAACGGCAGATTCGACTTAGCCAATGTCTTATGTCTCCAAGAGGAGCCACCCAGCACGGTTTTCAGCCACAAGCCTGCAAACGTCCTCTCAAGGACTCGGGCCTTCACTCCATTGGCCAGTCAGCAATGGATTACGGTGGCTCTGGCATATATAAAAGAATTGGATGTCATCACGACCAAGAGGTTGGAGTTGTCTTCACAAACAAAGCAAAACACGTTCGCAGCCAGCTCAGCACCCCCCGACAATCCCCGGCCAAAGCCCAATCCAAAGAGAAAAGGGAAGGCGGGAGGAAAATGGGGCAGCAGTGCTCCGGCCCAACAACAGGAGCCAGAGGACTGAAGTGGCATATGAAGGTTCCCTATGAACCTGAAGGTGGGGGCGGGCCGGTGTCAAACCCCCTCACTTCTCAGGTCACGTTTCTCCAGTGGATGACCTGCCTTCCACGTTGGATTTTGCAGACCCGCACAAAGCTTGCGTCTTGTCTTGCTCGTTCTTTTGCCATCCTGCGCCGATCTTCCGAGACGGCTTCCGCACTCTTTCCCCTGCCCCTGCCATCTCTTGATTGCTTCCGTGGTAGTGGCCCTGGTTTGTCTTGTCGCCGCCTCAAGTCCGTGTGCCGTGATCGTCTGCTTAACATTTGGACTTTGGTACTGGACTTTTTGTTCCTTGGTAGGTGGCCCAGCAATGATGAGCTCAGGAGACGTCCTTCCAATGCCCAGGAAAAGGTTTTTCATCGCCTTAGGACGTTTTTGAGTGCGTGTGGTGACACCCAGGAAAGTTTTGACCTTTGCCCCGGTAGATCCAGCCCAGAATTAGGTAGTGCATTGTTTCACTTGGAGGCATTTTGCCAAACTTGCCAGGACCTTAGTTCCGGTTACATGGAGGCTGACACTTTGCCTTTCAAGCAACCAGGTCCACTTTTGTCGGTTGAGAAGCACCCTGAACTGCAGCCGTATAGGTCCCTTGATGCATCGAGGCTCAAAATTGTCGGAGAGGGAAATTGGAATATGGAAGCATACCTTGATGGACCGCTGTGGCTCCCATTTCAAGAGCCCTCTTTCCTTTTGCATGGCCTCCCTGTCTCTAGATGTTCCCAATTTTGAAGTTGAATCTTCCGATGAGTGTATGAAGCTTGCGACGCTGTGGGATGTGAGGGGGCTGCTGTGTCTCATGCCTGATCCCATTGCCCCTGGCCTTTTCAGTAGGGTTTTCAATGCCTTCAAGGATCGTGATCGAGACAGACAAATAGGTGATAGACGTTTGCCTAACCTGTCAGAACACCATGTCGATGGGCCTTCGAAGCAACTGCCTCAAGGACCACAGCTGACCTCAGTAAGAGTCCCACGATTCACTCATTTGCTGAGAGGTTCTGTAACTGATAGGAGGGATTTTTATCATCAAGCCGCTGTCACGTTGGAAAGAGCCCAGAGCAACATGCTGCCTTTTGCTTACCCCACCGAAGCTTTTGTTGGCACTCAGGCCTATGCTGGCTTACTCGAGAGGTCAAACCTAAAGCCTCCCCGCGCTCGAGAGATTGCAGGAGACCAGCTTGATTGTCGCAGTGCACCCAAACAGCCAAAAAGGCATTCCTTGGTTCCAGAGAGAGTGCACCCATGCTTTTCCTCGTTGTTTCAGGGGGACCATCTAGGAGTTGAGTTTGCACTTCGAAGTCACAGCCTGTTGCTGGAAAATCATGGACTCCTGCGCTCAGAGCATCGAATCCTTGGGGGCTGCCCGGTCCCTATTGGTAGGTGTTGGGATGCATTGGTGATTGATGACTATTTTGCATTTGGGATTGAGCCCGTGAGTTCGCCTCCAGAGAAGTCCTTTGCCATGCATTCCTTAGCTGTTGCCAGAGGGGTCTACCAGAAAGAAGGCCTGATGGGATCTGATGAAAAGGACGTAGTTGCTCAACCAGTCTTTAAAGCAGCCGGAGCTGAAGTTAGGTCTTCCGAGAAAAATGCTCGCTCCGGGGTGATCCCTGTCGGTGCACCTTTCTCCAAGAGAATTGCCTTGTCGGTCTTGTCCCTCAGGTCTGCGGTCTTGCCAGGTACCTCAGCCCGTCTGGTGTCCCGTCTGGCTGGAAATTGGGTGTCCGTTTTGCAGTATCGGAAGTGTTTTTCTAGCCTCATCGATGGACTTTTTAAGCTGTCGAGCAAAAGCCTTGAAGAACCTATGCAGTGCGTCCACAAGCTGCCTAGGAGCATAGCCCAAGAAATCACCATGCTAGCAGTGATGGCCCCTTTGATTTTCAGCAATGTGTCGGTCGATTTCCTTGACCATGCCTATGCCACAGATGCATCTGTCCAGAAAGGTGCAATCGTTTCCACTTCAATGCCCGAGGAGGTTCATGAGGTACTCTGGCAATCAGCTGACAAGCGGGGGGCCTACACTCACCTTGACAATGGCTTCCGAGGCCTCTTGAGACAGATTGGTGATGTTGACGATGACCAGGACTTTCCTGGACCATTGCCACTGGTTGAGCCTTTGTCGAAACAGCCACTGCTTTATTTTGACTTTGTTGAGATTTGTGGTGGTGCGGGAAAGGTTTCGAAAGCTGTCAGTAGTTTTGGTAGGTCAGTTGCCCCGGTTTTGGACTTATCAAACAGCCGGCATTACAATCTGTCCTGCCTGCGCCTGACCGAGTGGATCATTTACATGATAGAGGAAAATCGTTTCAGGTCCTTTTTGATAGCACCACCATGTACAAGTTTTTCACCTGCAGCACACCCCGCAGTGAGAAGTTACCGACAGCCTCTTGGCTTTGACCGTCAAAACCCAAAGACTTGGCTAGGGAATCAGCTTGCATTCCGAACCCTGCTCCTTTTGCGTGTTGGCAGGCGATGCTTCAGACCTTGTGCAGCTGAGCAGAGCCGACTTAGCAAGATGTGCTGGTTAGATCTTTGGAAGGCCTTGTTGTCGCTTGGTTTTGACGAAGCGGTGATAGCTTCATGTGTTTTTGGCTCCATCCACAGAAAGGAATTCAGATTTTTGGTTTTCTTACTGGATGCAGTTTTCCTGACTCGGCGCTGCCCGGGTGGACATGCACATGTGAAGGTTGAAGGGTCCTACACAAAAGCCTCTGCCATTTACGTCGATGGACTTGCATGGCACGTTGGGGAAGCCTTTCACAGAGCCCTTAAAGCCATTGAAGCAAAGGAGTTGTTAGTACCTGACGTTCAGGGACAGGAAACGGTTTTGGCCAACGACGTCATGGCTTCAAGTCGATGGCACACTGTCAGAGCGTGGTTTTGGAAGCGTTGCTCACATATCAATGTTCTTGAACTTGCCGCTGCCGTCTCTGTCCTAGGGTCTGTTGCTCAGTCCAGATCGTCCGTCAGGTTTGCCAGCTTCTTGGACTCGTCTGTCTGCCGAGGTGCCTTGGCCAAAGGAAGATCCGCTTCCTATGCTCTGCAGCCCGGTCTCAAACGAGCTTGTGCCTGGTGTGTGGCTTTTGACTTATACCCTGCCTGGCCGTTCTCTCCCACCAGACTGAACGTCGCAGACGATCCTTCCAGAGGTACGGAGCCCAGACAGCCTGTTGCATTGTCACTTGTCAGACAGGATGGACTTATGCTCAGTGCCTCTGTTGCCTCTGGACTCCGCCGTTTTACTGCCAACTGGTGTCGACTGTGCCTTTTGGTCTTGCTTACTCAACCGGCCCCAGCTCTTGGCTCCTCTGTGTATCACTTTGGATTTCAGTCAGAATGGCCTGCCAAGCTCCTCTCGGTTTGTGCGTGGGTGGTGGTGACTGTCTTCTGCTCCTTGCTGTTGAGCTGTGGACTCTCTTTTGTCGTCCCCTAAGGGTTGGGTGTAAATTTAATAGGCCTTATGGACTTTTAAAGACTCATCCCCTCAGGAAACCGGTTCGGGTAGCCATGGTCGTCGCGCTGCTGCTTAGTTCTGCCTCAGCAATGCCGCTTATGCCAGGAACTGAAACAGAAAGACAGCGAGTCATCCGACGCGATGGTGCTTCGCTTGTGGCGACCAGGGCTATCAAACAACAGACGCGCGACAGGAGAAAGGTCTATTTAGACTGGTTTCGACAGTGGCTGTGGAGCGAGAAAAAGGTATCTTTCCGGTACCTTATTGATCAGAAGCCGCCAGACCCTGAAAAGCTATCGGAGCTGCTTGTCGAATACGGGAAAGCTCTTTTCCATGCTGGCAAAGCGTATGGTGTCTACGCTGAGACGATCAATTCTGTCGCGGTTGAAAGGCCATTGGTCCGCAGACAACTTACGTCTGCCTGGGACCTGGCTTTCGCTTGGTTGGCAGACGAACCTCATGCTCACCATCCAGCTATGCCTCTGTCTTTGATGGCAGCAATGGTGGTGGTAGCTCTTTACTGGGGATGGCCTTTTGAAGCTTCAGTAATTTTGATGAGCTGGACAGGCGTGATGAGGATTGGAGAAGTCTTGTCGGCGTGCCGAAAAGACGTGGTATTCCCTAGTGACGCTGCTCCTGGCACCTCCTTCATGCTCATTATCATCAGAACACCGAAGACTCGGGGCAGATCAGCCCATCACCAGGCAGCCAGGATCGATCAGGTCGATGTGATCAGGTTTCTGGAATCCATGTACAAGGATGCACCGGAGAATTCAGCCATATGGCCCTATTCAGCGGCAACTCTGCGGAAACGTTTTCGACACCTCTTGGAAGCACTGGAACTGCCAAGTACAAAGGGGTTTTCTGGACGCCCCTTTGGCCTGGGATCAATGCGGCCTGGTGGAGCTACGTGGATGCTACATCAGACAGAGAGCCCAGAATACGTCAGACGCAGAGGCAGATGGCTGAGTTCAAGGGTCATGGAAATCTACCTCCAGGAAGTCTTGGTGACCACCTTCCTGGAGAAACTTCGACCAAGGACAAGATTTTTGATAGAACTTTGTGCAGGGGAGTTTGCCATTGTCATTGACCGCGTGATCACATTCCTTGACACTGGCATCCCCCCCAAAGCTTGGTTTTCCCTTCTCAAAAGCTCTGGAGATATTCCTACGGAGAACGTCAGAAAAGCTGGGATCAATGGCAGCAATTTTAGCCATCCAGGTGACCAACACATGGACTGGCATGATGAAACTCCCGTGCAGGACAGCGAAAAAGGCAGCTGCGACATTCTTGGATGCAAGAAGTCAATTGGTGGCTTTCGGGGCTCAAGCCTCCCTCCACCCCCGGCCCAGTCAGAACTTTTGAGAAGGCAGCAATTTTAGCCATCCAGGTGACCAACACATGGACTGGCATGATGAAACTCCCGTGCAGGACAGCGAAAAAGGCAGCTGCGACATTCTTGATTAATATATATATATATATATTACATCCCATTAAATCCATACAACATATGTTTCTAGGTTAAATCCCATGATATCCATCAGTAAATTGTGGATTTTCCAACGTGGATCAGTGTTTGATCACGTCGGGTCTCAATTTTTTGGAGAGAGATGGCCGAAGACAAGGTACGAACTTTTAAAGCCCGAGAGTGTTTGGAGAACAGTTTTGTTTCAGTATCTCTACGTATATATATATATATATATGTATATAAATATTATATATATATATAGATATGTATACAAATGGGGTCTGGTTTCAACAACATATTTTCTGGAGTGTCTAGCAAAAACTTAAATGAGGATTTAAACAACAAGAATTGGGAATAGACCAAGAAACAATGGGGCAATGGATGCGCACAAACTGGTGGATTCTCATTGCCAGTTCACAAGGTGCCAGAAGGTGACTATAAGAGGATGGATGGCCACTGGCTTGCTTAGTAACAGCGATGTCATGTGCACTCAGCTTTTCTATGGCTCGAGATGTTGCACAGTGGACAACTCCTGCGGATATGATATATGGGTATGGATCAATACCTATTAATACCATCTTTAGGGGGATGAACATCCATTTACCAGCTATTTTCATGTTCACCAGGGGTACAAGGTTTTGACACACTGCCATATTATTGGATTTTTAGTTTCTGGATTTTTCAAATGCTTCGAGTAGTTGTGTCCCTGCCCAGTGGTTCTGGTAAAACTCTCTTACTTCCTGAACTCTCCAAAGTGGGAGACTTGAAGATTCTGGCCCAAAGGTCTTTTGGACAGGGCTTCCTGAAACTCGTGACTGCGGAAGGACATGCACTGACAGATCCTGAGGACTTATTGAAAGCTGCAGGAGTGCAAGACGGAGAGCACTTAACTGCTGTGGCACAACGAGCAAGAGTAACAGCTACAAGAGAAGCTTTTGCAGTTTGGTGCTGTGGAGGGAACTGGGTAGTTACCTGGGGCAATATTAAGTCTGGTGGACACTGCTCCTTAGTCAAAGATCAACTCAGGAACGTGCGGCAAATTCAGGCCACACATGAGGCATTTGCCGCAATCTTGGCTGATGGGTCAGTAGTTACCTGGGGCACTCCAGACCTTGGTGGTGACTGCTCCGCAGTTCAAGATCAGCTCAGGAACGTGCAACAAATTCAGGCCGCATGTGGTGCATTTGCTGCCATCTTAGCTGATGGATCAGTCGTTGTCTGGGGCCATCCAACGTGTGGTGGTGACTGCTCGGCAGTTCAAGATCAGCTCAGGAATGTGGAGCAGATTCAGGCCACAAGCGATGCATTTGCTGCAATCTTGGCTGATGGGTCAGTAGTTACCTGGGGCAATCCAGACAACGGTGGTGACTGCTCCGCGGTTCAAGATCAGCTCAGGAATGTGCAGCAGATTGAGACCACAGGTTTTGCATTTGCGGCAATCTTGGCCGCTGGATCGGTGGTTGCCTGGGGCGATCCAGACTGTGGGGGTGACTGCTCTACAGTTCGAGATCAGCTGATTAATGTGCAGCAAATTCAGGCTGCATATTTTGGCGCATTTGCGGCGATCTTGCTCGATGGATCAGTGATTGTCTGGGGTGATCCAGACTGTGGTGGCGACTGCTCTGCAGTTCGAGATCAGCTGATCAATGTGCAGCAGATTCAGGCTACAGATTGGGCATTTGCTGCAATCTTGGCAGATGGAGGAGTGGTTACCTGGGGCCATCGAGACTTTGGTGGTGACTGCTCGGAAGTTCAAGATAAGCTCAGGAATGTGGAGCAGATTCAGGCCACAAGCGATGCATTTGCTGCAATCTTGGCTGATGGGTCAGTAGTTACCTGGGGCAATCCAGGCAACGGTGGTGACTGCTCCGCGGTTCAAGATCAGCTCAGGAATGTGCAGCAAATTCAGGCCACTGATTTTGCATTTGCGGCAATCTTGGCCGCTGGATCAGTGGTTGCCTGGGGCGATCCAAAATCTGGTGGTGACTGCTCTACTGTTCAAGATGAGCTCCAGTACTTGTAGCTTATATATATATATGATATGATATATTTTAAACATATTTATATGTATTTTCCATAGTTTGCAACCAGCCAGCTAGGCAGGAGCATTTCACTGTCGGAAAAGAGGGTTCCAGATCAGCTGATGAATGTGCAGCAAATTCAGGCTGCAGATGAGGCATTTGCTGCTGGTGAATGCTCTACGTTCAAGATGAGCTCCAGTATTTGTAGAGATATTATACATATAGTATAATGCATTATATATATATTATATTTAATGCATTATATATATTATACATATTATACATATAGTATTATATACTTACACGCATATGTTTATGGCATATTTCGTCATATTTCGTCCTTTACCATTTGTTTTGTATGTCTTTGGGAAATGCCGTCTGGATTCCGGGACTCCCAGCGGTATGGCCCGGGGGGCACCAAATCATTGGGTTCTTGATCGTCGTCTCAATCATCGAATCATCGCCAGCAATGGTAGAAACTTCAGGGTTTACATCAATGGATTGTTTTCTTGGGAAAATCTTCACCGGAAACCATGGATTTTCCCATGAAAAGCTGGGACTTTCCGGTGTAATTTTTCACCTTAAGCCAATCCATGGATTAGAATTTGCAAACACATGCTCAAAAATTGTTGGTCAATTTCATGCCCCCAAGAACCAAAAAGACTGTTACATCTGGGTCAATTCGAGCGACAAAAAAGTTATGAACTTTTCAGGTCCGCCCTCGAATCAAACCTGGATTGGGACCTTCACCGTCCCCATGATGACATATAATTAATCTTGATTATCATTACAGTAATTGAATTGTCCCCAATGAAAAAATCATATATATATATATATGTAATCCTTGCACATATATTATTATGTATTATTATTATTATTATATATATATGATATATATATGATATATATATATATATATGATATATATATATAGATAGATACTCATTTTTTGGATTGAAGCTATCCCTCTGCAATCCAATTTTGTTTATTTTCCCAGTATTATTGGCACAGGTTATCCCTCAACGGTGATTTCTCACCCAACTCCCATGAGTTTCTCAGCCTATGAAGCCCTATTGAACGGATATAGGTTCTTTCACTAGGTCTTGGCTCAAGATGAAATAGCGGCTTCCATACTTTCTGTTCACCTATGAAATCACCAGACTTTTCTTGCTGAAATGCACTTAATGACATCCCCATTGAAGCCCTATGAAATCACCATTTCTACACGGTGGTGCCCCCGGTCGAGCTCGCATTCAGTTGGTGCAAACAACTCCAATTTCACTATGGTTTATGGTACTTATACAACTATAGTATTCATGGGGTTTATAAATCAATTTATAAGTGGTTTAACTATGGTTAATGGTACTTATAACTATAGTTCATGGGGATTATGATGGTTTATAAACCAACGTTCACATCAGTGAGGGGGCCCACATTCTATCCCCGTTTTTCCTGGGAATCCCATGGGTTCCTCAGCCCTGAGGTGCTGA